AATCCGTCCACTCTTCTGCCACTCCCTGAGGGGGGTGTATACTACGGATTCATCATGGACGAAACTTATGTTTTTCTTCTCACTGGCACCATCAAGAAGGAAATGCATCCCAACCTATCCTTTCATGATGGACAAGCACTCCTTCATGACGGAGCAGGATATGCCTTCTGTACCATGTGGTACAAACCAAACATCACTCCTGAACCCTGCTATGAAGATGAACTCTATCATCTGGTCGAAGTAAAACTCACTGCACAAGACTTCTACTGTGATTCTGAAGGCAACAGTATGGTCTTGATTCATCTACCTCCGGAACTCAAGTATTTGTACCGTCATTGGGACACTGCCATTCCACATGTCCCTGTGACCAAGTTGAAAACAATATCATGGAATGATCTTGGGCCTATGGCAAAAGCATGGGCCACTATGGACGAATCACAGCTACAGGAAAATGGTGTTGTCAAATATCCAACAACTGACCACCTAAAAGCATGGCCACGTCATTTCCTGGAAAATGAGTTCCAAGATTTAACCATAGTGAATGACTACGACCCAAATACACCTCATGACTGTTTTGAACAGATGAAAATGGAAACAACACATCTACCAACTGTGCATGAAGACCCATTGGTAGATCCCGATCTCACCCTGTTTGTGGACGGCTCAAGATATGCTGATGAAGAAGGAAGATACCATACAGGATATGCCGTAACCACAACAGATGAAATTGTCAAATCATCATCTTTACCATCAACTATGTCTGCACAAGAAGCTGAATTGCAAGCCCTGACTTCAGCATGCAAGATCTCTGAAGGAAAGCGCGCCAATATCTACACGGATTCAAGATATGCACTGGGCGTGGCTCACGACTTCGGATTAATTTGGAAAACAAGAGGATTTCTTACCACCGCCGGTACACCAATCAAGCACGGTTCCGCAATCAAGGAGCTGATGGACGCCCTCCTACTCCCAGAAGAAGTGGCTATTTTGAAGATAAAAGCACATGGGAAGTTGGACTCAGATGAAGCAAAGGGCCACCATCTAGCTGATCAAGCTGCAAAACAAGCTGCAAGAGAACTACAGGAAGTGGACAGAAGTTTGTCCGGAAACGAAGAAACTCCCACATTTACCTTGCAGACACTTCCAACTGATCTAAAAACCCTACGGGAACAACAGGCTGCAGTTGCTCCTGAAGAAATACAAAGATGGAAACAGAAAGGGGCAGTTCTGAAGGATGGAGTTTACTCCAACAACCTCAAGTTCTGCCTCCCTAAGAATTTGTACCCAGCAGTCGTACAATGGGCACACGGACCTGCACATTTATCAAAGGATCTAATGAATGCTCTTGTACAAAAATACTACCTCACTGTCCCCATATGAGATTCTATTTGGGACTGCACCTAGGCTAGGTTGCTATTTTCCCCAGCAATTACAACTTCATACTGATGTTTTAGTAAACTATGTAACTGAACTTGCCAATGCTTTGAACAAAATCCATGCCCAAGTTTTCTCTTCAATTCCAGATCCTGATTCTGACACAGGCAACCACAGTCTGCTCCCCGGTGACTGGGTTCTGGTCAAGAAATTTGTGCGAAAACACACCCTGGAACCAAGATTTGACGGACCGTTCCAAGTTCTCCTGATCTCCCCTACCTCTGTCAAATTGGCCGGAAGGCCTAACTGGATCCACGCTTCCCATTGCAAGAAGACACCTGCCCCAGAGGAAGCTAACTCTATGCAACCATGTGCCTCTGGTACATTATCTCCTTAGTTGGCCTCCTTAAAGCCCAGCAGGTGGCCATCACCAAAGATGCTAGTGGGTACACTTTCTGGTATAATTCATCATGTACCCATGTGGCTACATTCACTTTTGATTACTGTGATATTGTAGAATGCCCATTCCCTAAGTCACAGATTCAAGCCATTTATAAAGATATCCCACAAGCAAAAGACCCTTACGTTTGTGTAGTAGATGAACAATGGGGTTATGACTGTAACTACTGGGGGGCTGCGGGATGGAATACTGGGCCTGCCTGGGGTTATAAACCCAAAAGTGCTTTATCTAAGATAGACAATCAGGGTAGATCCCTCCTTCAAAGAATGACTTTAAGAAAGCCTGGAGGAAGTACCCCTATGAAATTAATGTTAAATATTGAACATCCTGGCCCCGAGGATGCAGACCGATATGTAATGGGAATGTATTGGAAGAAAGGTTCCTACAACAAATTAGGTCATTTCTACCTCAGAGATATGTACCACTCTCCAGAGTGGCAAGGGGCTGATCATATGGTCCCAAATCCGCTAAAACCACATATCCAGTCCTTTAAAGATATGATGGCCATCGCTAACCCCACTTTTGAAGATACCATGGCCGCTGAAACTGGATTCAATGACATTAATTTGTGGTTAGAATGGATGAGGTATAATGCCAACAAACATAATAAAACAGCATGTTATGTATGTGGCGGTGCCCGACCCCACCTTGGCACCGTCCCCCTAATCTCCCTTTAGAGATAGAAGATTGCTTCTTAAGCCTTTTTGCCTACCAATATGACTTTAATAGGTCCCTCTGCATGGCATGGACGGCAGAATACCCTCTCTTAGTTGAAAATGTTAAGCCACCAGATGGAATCACAGTCTATAGAGGTAATTACACTTGTTATGCCATGTATGACGGGATTGGTAAATTCATGGGTAATTTTTCTAAAGGTTATTGCGCCACTTACAGAACTGTTCCTATACGCCTGTTGCAACACCATACCAGGTCATTGGGGGATATTTACTGGTTATGTGGGGATCTACAGTTAAGATCTAGGCTGGAAACTGAGTGGTGGGGTGAGTGTACCCTAGCCAAAGTTATCATGCCCATTCATATTATTTCTGATAATCATCATGACACATACGACCCTCCACATACACCAGCCAGAGTGAGGCGCGAAACCCCAGTAAAAGGCAGTTTTGACCCCCACATTTACATAGATGCCATTGGGGTACCTAGGGGGGTGCCTAATGAATTTAAAGCTAGAGATGAAGTAGCTGCAGGTTTTGAATCACTTTTTACCATAGTCACTGCCAACAAAAACCTTAATTGGATTAACTACATTTATTACAACCAACAGCGTTTTGTCAACTACACCAGGGATGCCCTCCAGGGCTTGGCCGAGCAATTACAGGCCACATCCCAAATGACCTTCCAGAACAGACTGGCCTTAGACATGATCTTAGCCGAAAAAGGGGGGGTCTGTAAAATACTTCCCGACACTATGACTTGTTGCACTTACATTCCAGAAAACACAGGTCCTAATGGTAAAGTCACTCTGGCCATAGCTAAATTAAATAGACTCTCAGAAGAGTTAAAGAGAAACTCTGGAGTTACTGATCCCTGGGAAAAATGGTTTGGTTGGATGACTGGTTGGCAGAGAGCTTTAGTCCAGATTGGTATTGCCTTACTAATTTTTCTTTTTATTCTCGCTCTTCTCATTTGTTGTGTCCTCCCATGCCTAAGGAAATTCCTGCAGAAAACTGTAGACCAAGCAACACCAACCTTCACTCATCTGACAATCGATGATCAAGATCTCATCTCACCCTGTATTCCGCTACAAACTCTCCCTTATACTGATGAAGTGCAGAAAGTCTAGGAAGGGACAGTACAGGGACAGCGTCCGTCTTTATGGGTAGACTGCCGTACGGAGAAGTAGTGGATAAGCCACTATGGGTTACCAGCGGAGTGAAGAGTGTTCCTGAACCGTACTGACGGATGTGCTGCAGCCTGTTAGGGTCAAGAGAGGGATAGACTTGCACTTTGCATTAACACTAAGTCAGCGGTCATGGGGTTTCTGTGTCTTTGGGCTAACACATCTTCTGATACTAACAAATAAAGTTTTGTCTTTTAGCAAATAACATTTTAGGGGGGACTGTTGTAGAATTATTAGGCCTCTATAAATCTGTAAGGCCCCTTTAAATCCTCTTGCTATACCTCTAAGAGGCCCCCATAGTTTTACAAGAAAGCTTTGTCTATAGAACATAGAATTTGCATGCCAGCAAGAAATAGCTTTGATAAAATGTGTATTTACTAAAAGCCTTGAAACCTAACCTTGAGAAGCTAACCGTGCCAGCTACACTCTAAATGGATGGCTGCCAAAGCACCCCTCCCATCGAGTGAACACCTCGTGCTAACAAGATGGCGCCTACATCTTGTGTCCACTCCCGTGTCAAGGATGACATCACCTCTTGATAGGAGGGTACCTAACTAACCACTTAACACCTGGACCAATCAATAGTGTCTATTTGCTGTTATCTTGAATTCTTCAGTGATGTAATAATGCCTTTAAAAGGGTCTGCGCACCCATTTTCTGTCAGAAGCCATTAAACTTCTCCGAAGTTCTTTCATTAACCTGAACTTTGTGTCTCAGTGTGAATTTACTTCTGCGTGCACGCAACTTTATTATCTTTCATTTGGACAGGAACAGATAGTCATTCAAACTAATTGGTTTGCAGTAAATTATCTACAACAATCTCATCAGTGAAAGTGTAGTTTATCTGTGAAAATGCAAAATAAAAAATATGAACGATAATTCTGTGCCTACTAAAAAGGACTGGACATATCCCATTTTGAATACCCTGGACCCCTTTGCAAATGGTATGCCATTATGGGGGTAATTTTCATTCCTGGGCTGCCATTCTGTCTCAAACGTCACAGTATATTAATCACCATGGCATGTTCTGAAATCTAGTGCAACCACCATGCAAACTAATGCGATAAGCAGATATAATTTATATCTCACTGCTATCCTTTTATAACGTTACTCCACTTCTATGATCATGGCACTTTAATAAATCTCACTTTTACACTTATCTCAACCATTAGGACCCTGATATCGACAGCCCCATGACCCAACCAAGAGGTCCTGTATCAGCCTGACAGAGCACCGCCAGGCCCTTCCCACTGACTAATCCATTTCACCTCAACCCTGTCCGACGTCACCGGCACCTGACTCTCGGATTCCATGACAGCACACGCTATCCGAGCGGCTCGGTAGGCGGCTCCTTGGATCGTCACAGGTCCCGTGATCGCCGCAGCACCAGGAAGTCTTCTCGCAGTCTGGGAAGCTCACACGGCCGGGCGGCTCCACTGCACCTCGAGGCCCCTGAAGTTCGTATCGTGTCCGAAGCCGCTCCACTGCAGCCATGGCTACCTTTATCTCGGTGCCGCTGAAGAAGACGTCCGAGGTGGACCTGGCCAAGCCGCTCACCAAGTTCATCCAGAGCGTGTACCCGGCCGGGGACGATAGGACGGATTACTGCCGGGCGGCCGACGAGCTGAACAAGCTACGCAAGAGCGCCGTGGGGAGACCCCTGGACAAGCACGAGGGCTCGCTGGAGACCGTCATGAGGTACGCGATGCCCCCCCTCCCTCAGCGCCCGCAGAGCTTCCCAGCCAGAATGCGGCCTATAGCCACGGGCTGCTCCGTGCTTCCTGGTCTAATATGCCTCCTGTCATTGTGCAATCTCTGTCCGAGCTGTTACATGTCGTGATATCCATTAGTTTCAGTGTTTGACACAGGATGACGTCGTTAATGTCATGACGTCACGTGAGCAGTGATGATGTGTGACTCATATGTCAACATAGTGACATACTATTGTGTATTGTGGGAAATTAATGCCTTGTAATAATTTAGGATTCAACATAAATCACAAGGTCAAGATATATTTTGAGTTTTTATTTTTTTTAATTTTATTTATTATATAAATATTTAATTTACTTTTGTGTTCCTTAGAATAAATGGCAGCAGCTACAATTACATGTTGCTTATCTGTACTCCTTCTCCCTGACTGACATGCCAGTAGAGTAGACCTGAGAGAAAGAGACCCAGTGGGCAGTATTTATCAGAGAATTCAAATCTTTTAGCGGATACACAAAGTACCAAAGCAACTTTAGTTTTTATAAAGCAGTTTTGATGTATAGTTTATACCACTGCTAAACTTCATGCAGTTAGTAGTTTAAAAATCACTTTGTTTATGCAGCCCTGTCTGTGACTCACCAATTATGAAAAAAGTTAATTTTTACAGCACAATGTTTTTACTGTAGAAGTTTTCGTCTTGCAATTGACCTTTAATCCTTTATCAACATTAGGGCTTGCTTTGGCGAATTACAACAGAAGGGCTTTTAAGGGACACTCCAGGCACCCAGACCACTTCTGGCCATTGGAGTGGTCTGGGTGCCAACTCTCACTACCCCTAAAGGGAAACTCCAGTGCCAGGAAAACAATCTGTTTTTCCTGGCACTGCAGGTCCCCTCTCCCTCCCACCTCCCATCCCCGGTTGCTGAAAGGGTGAAAACCCCTTCAGGTCACTTACCTGAGACCTCGGCGGTGGTTTCTTCTCGCCGCCGCTCCTCCCAGTCTTTACATCGGCCGGCGGGCGAGACTGATCCCGCCCACCGGCCGGGGAGACCTAATGCGCCTGCGCAGCAATGCTGCGCATGCGCATTAGAGCTCCCATAGGAAAGCATTGAAAATGCTTTTCAGTGCTTTCCTATGGGGAATTGAGCGACGCTGGAGGTCCTCACACAGCGTGAGGACGTCCAGCGACGCTCTAGCACAGGTTTTCTGTTCTATAGAGCAGGAAGTGCCCTCTAGTGGCTGTCTAGTAGACAGCCACTAGAGGTGGAGTTAAACCTGCAAGGTAATTATTGCAGTTTATAAAAAAAACTGCAATAATTACACTTGCAGGGTTAAGGGTAGTGGGAGTTGGCACCCAGATCACTCCAATGGGCAGAAGTGGTCTGGGTGCCTGGAGTGTCCCTTTAACCCTTCAAGTGTAATTATTGCAGTTTTCATAAACTGCAATATTTACTTTGCAGGGTTAACTCCTCCATTAATGGCTGTATACTAAAAAAATACTCTATGTACCCTGTTTTGAATAACCTGGGTTGTCTATGATATGCCATGATGGAGGTTATTTTCATTCCTGGGCTGCCATATGTTCTCAAAGACAACATAGACCCAGCAAACCAATCTGGAAGATATCAATGTGTAAAATCTGAGATTGGCAAGCTCTTTATTTGACCCTTTAAAGGAACACTCCAGGCACCCAGACCACTTCAGCTAATTGAAGTGGTCTGTGTGCTGTGCCCCTATTAAACTTAGTGCTGCAATGTAAAACATTGCAGTTCCAGACAACTGCAGTGTTTATATTGCAGCTCTAAGTCTGCCCTTTGTGGATGTCTGCCAGACAGCCACTGGAGGGCTCCCGGAATCCAAACCGACTTTTGGTCGGTTGTCTGATGCTGGACGTCCTCACGGACCTCCATCGTCAGATTTTCCCCATAGGAAAGGATTGAATAATGCTGACGTCGGCGGGGGAGGAGCGTGTGTGCGAAGCCTGACCCAGCGCCGAGGGACATCGGCGATGGATTCAGGAAAGTAGCTGAGGAGTTTTAAACCCTTCAGTGACATGGGGTGGGGGGCACTTCAGGATCCTGCAGTGCCAGGAAAACTGCTTTGTTTTCCTAGCAATGGAGAGTTCCTTTAAAGGGACACTATAGTCACCAGAACAACTACAGCTTATTGAATTTGTTCTGGTGAGTAGAATCGTTACCTTCAGGCTTTTTGCTGTAAACACTGTGTCTAAAATGCATCCAAACATTCAGTATCTCTTCCTTCTGCATGCAGACACTGAACTTTCCTCATAGAGATTCATTGATTCAATTCATCTCTATGAGGAGATGCAGATTGGCCAGGGCTGTTTGAATCATGCTGGCTCTGCCCCTGATCTGCCTCCTTGTCAGTCTCAGCCAATCCTATGGGGAAGCACTGTCAGTGAGACAGCTACTAGAGGCTGGCTTAACCCTCGGTGTAAACATAGCAGTTTCTCTGAAATCATGTTTTCAGCTGCAATGGTTAAAACTAGAGGGACCTGGCACCCAGACCACTTCATTGAGCTGAACTGGTCTGGGTGTCTATAGTGGTCCTTTAACAGTGGGCTCCCATTGTGGCTTTTTTTTCAGACGGCTTTTTTTGAGGCAAACAGCATGCAGCGTTACAGCTACAGTAAGATTTTGCTATATTTATGGAGGCATGAGGGGCCCAGGGGGGTAGATGGTGGTTTTAACATTATAGGGTCAGAAATATATGTTTGTGTTCCTGACCCTATAGTGATCCTTTAACTCTCCAAAACACCATGAAACCTGAACATGGGGAAAGATCATGGGACATCACAGCATACAAATATGTGTATTTTGTTGCAGTAAAAGCTGACCATATTATGACATTCACAGTTAAAATGCCATGCATAACTAAAACAATTTATTAATTTCTCATTTCTTTTAGATTTTATTAATATTATTTATTAATATTAGTTTGTTTCATCTATAAATATTTGATGGGAAATGAAAGCCCCAATTTCTCCTGAACAAAATTATACCTGTATGGGTGCATTTAAAAGGACACTATCACCAGACTGAATATAATAATTTCCTTCAGGCCTTTTGCAGAAAACCTTGTCTTTTCAGAGAAAATGCAATGTTTACATTACAGCCTAGGCCCTGGGATACCTCTCATTAGTCACTCCTCAGGCTACTAAAGGAGCTTCCTTGAGGAGTGCTGCACAATCCATTCAATGTTTCCACCCTGCATGGAGACAATGAGCGTTGCAATGAGATGCATTGATTCATGGTAGTTTTGACACTATAAGGTCAGGAATACATGTTTGTGTTCCTTTCCCTATAGTGTTCCTTTAATTTGAAAGAGGTAAATTATGGTTGTACAGACCTATAGGTCAAATTCCAGTTTTTGCTTTGGTTCAGAACTTGCCTCTGTCCTTGATGGGTTGATCTCACACAAGAGGTCCTGTTAGGTTCAGTCAAGCAATTAACAGCAGGAGATAATTCAGAAATACACTGTGCATTAAAGAAAGCTAAAACATTTTGGCTTTTTTTTTTTTTTTTTTAAAGGAAGTATGTAGGGAGGTTGTGTGGGAAATGTAACTAGGGCTGCATAAGCAAAATGCCTAAATTGTTAAGAATTAAGCGGTGAGACTGAACACTAAACACTAAAACCCCTTTTTTAGGATGAAGTTGTTTTGGAGCTGCCTTTGGTGCATTCAATGCACCATAAGCACTGGTGTCCACCGTAATAATTATGGTGCCATGAGTGCCCTGGTCCCAATATAATTTGCCAACAGTTTTACAACAGTTTGACAACTTACCAAGGTCTTCTGGGTACCTGCCCACCATCTAATCTTGAATGCATTGCTCTGCTTGGCTCAGTAGACCTAAACAGATTCTCCTGTTGAAGCAGGTGATGAAGCTGTAGGTACCTGGCAAGACCCAGGCAAGTTGTCATACTGTATAAGAAATTACACTGGGGTGCCCACATATCATTTCTGTCACCATTATCACTACAGCAGGTTGTAATGCTTATGGTGCTTAAAGCATTCATTTGAAAGTAGTCCTAATTATGTGTTGCCTGTCTTCTTTGTATAGTCCAACATTTGAGAGGGGGAGCGCCTCCCTCTTCTGCTGTACGTAGGAGCGCCGGCTGTCACGTGACTACCCGGTGCTCCCCCTCGGCTGTTACGTGACTACCCCAAGGGTCTGGATGGAGTGTCACGTTTATGCTGCAGGTAGGCTTAAAGGACCACTATAGTGCCAGGAAAACAAACTTGTTTTCCTGGCACTATGTAGTCCTTAAATCCCCCCCCTCCCGCTGGGCTGAAGGGGTTAAAACCCCTTCATCCACTTGCCTTTCTCCTGCCGACGTAAGCGCCGAATGCGCGCACATTCAAACCACTCTTAGGAAAGCATTACTCTTATGGACGTCAGCGTCTTCTCACTGTGATTTTCACAGTGAGAATCACGGAAGCGACCTCTAGTGGCTGTCAGTGAGACAGCTACTAGAGGCTGGCTTAACCCTCGGTGTAAACATAGCAGTTTCTCTGAAATCATGTTTTCAGCTGCAATGGTTAAAACTAGAGGGACCTGGCACCCAGACCACTTCATTGAGCTGAACTGGTCTGGGTGTCTATAGTGGTCCTTTAACAGTGGGCTCCCATTGTGGCTTAAGGACCGCCAGGTGTGAAGTTATGTAACCTCATCCCCACCACCCTAGAAACACAATAAGACCATACTTGGCTGAGATAATGGTATAATGTGACAGTTTTTGTTTTATCAAGGTGGATTGGGTGATAGTCATTGTATTGGTAAAGATGTCTGTCGGGTCCTCTTTTGCACCTCTTAGACTAAGCGTTTTTAATATTAAACAGAATTTTATTTTTTGCTGAGCCATATGCCATGAAGCTACTGACGCTGCAACATAGTTTGACAGTAGTCAGTATGATGTCACAGATGGTTGCACTTCAAAAATAGATTTGGTATGAGTCATTTCCAAAATTAAATCTAAAATCTATTTTAAGAATTTTTTTATCTTGTGCTGGAACTGTGAGCAAATTTGTGAATTTTTTTTTTTTTTTTCTCTTCTCCATTTTTATTTTTTCCAGACGGTGGGCTTCCTTCTGAGTGGGTTGGGGAGGGGGAGGGGAGATGACCTTCTCATTTGTAGCCTCTGCCTCCATGGAAGAAGCAGTTACGTCTGTGCCCAGTGTGCAGTGCACATAGATGCCAGATGTAATTTATGCACAAAATCTTTGGTTACTTAATTCACGTGTGCTGGGATTACAACTTGCCAAATTGAAATCTCACTGGCTGTGCAGTGTTTGAACATAAAACTCTGCACACCCTGACTTTGACCACTATGATCATTACAAAAAGCATAAGTTTAACTCTTTAAAAATGAAAGATACCACCAGAGCTTTCTGCATACTGGTTAGACTGGTTCGTAGGTTTGCCTGCAGCTATGAAGAGACGTGTTTCCTGTGGCTTGCAGGCATTGTGTGACAGGTTGAAGGATCACCCTCCTTGTGAGTGTGTCCCTGCTAAGATCCTCAAAGAATGACAGGCTAGAATTTTCAAAGTCCAATAGCTGCTTAGCTGGGGCCGTGACAATCACCACCCTTTTGTCAGCCATGGAACGGTACACCACAATAATGTCCTGCAAGGGAGCAGCCGTGGGTCCCTTTGGATGTTCTACTCGGAAGCTCCATCCAGGAGTATAAATTTCACCTGCTAGGGTGGTAAGAGGGAGGAAAGGAAGTTGCGAACATACTTGGGCAACTCTTCAACCGAGCTCTACACACCCATGATCTTCATGTTGCGTCATCCCAATTCTTACATTTTTTTTATTAGTGAGGAAGTAGAGGAGATCGGAAGGCCATTATCACTGGTGGGGTGCATGCAGTTTCTGTAAGGTGCAGGGAACGCTGACTTTGCTACTGCAGAGTGCAACACTCCGCAACATACAATGACTTCAGTTTAAACATCCATACAGATGTTGGATAAATACTTGCAAAAACATAACATACTGGGATTTCTAATTAGTGGGGTAATAGCTGCTTGATCCAAGGAGACATCTGACTGCTATTTTGGGGTAAAGAAGGAATTTTTTCCTAGTTTGTTGCAAGATTGGAAAGTTATAGACTAGGTTTTTTGCCTTCTTTTGGATCAACAGCAAAAACATATGTGAGGAAGGCTGAACTTGATGGACGCAAGTCTCTTTTCAGCTATGTAACTTTTCGATTGAAATAGGTAATACAATTATCTGCAAAGACACAACTAGTGTAGTTTCTGAGAACCATTTCTCTGGTGCTGAAATAGTTAATGTTATGCCTTTTTTCGCAGAGTCATTTCATGAGCTCTGTAATTTTTTTTTAAATGTTTATTTTTTATTATTATTTTTTTTTTTAATTATTATTATTTTCGGAAATGTTTTATGTTCTTGAGGCGTGTAAAGGCTGCAGACACCAGATCAGTATGTTTTGTTTATTTTTCATAAGCTCCTGGCTGTAGTGGTTATGTTGATTTGGATAACCTCTGAGACCCAATATTTCTAGTTTACTCTCATATGGCATCTATGAAGAGAACCTTTTTTTTTAATCTAAAAAACAAAATGTAAAGAACATCTAGAAATAAATAGGTTTGTTTAAAGGAACGCCGTGGACCCCTAAAGCACTTTTGTTTGCTGAAATGCTTGGTGTGTAAAAGCAGGTTTCAATAGAAATTGGCACTTTTCTAAATTAACCTTGTTACACCCCTTTGACTCTCAAGCAGGCAACCTGCACTGTTACTTCCTGTTTTTTTTGTTTGTTTTTGTTTTTTATAGCTATGGGGAGATAATCTCAAGAGGTAGTAGAGCACCTTACAAAGACTTCTCATTGAGCTGCATTGGAAGTCTTTAATCGAACAGCCACAGAAACTCGTTTTCCTGGAACTATAGCTTCCCCCAGTGTAAAGGTTCCCCCGTGGTGCAGTAAGGGCCATAAACTCCTTCTGACACTTACCTAGTTCCTGCGCCGATGTCCAATGGCGCTGGCTCGGGTCCGACTATACTCCTCTCCTGTTGATGTCAGCCAGCAGGGGAGACCTAAAGTGCATGTGCAGCAATGGCTGTGTTTGCATTAGGAAAGCATTGAATTTCTATGGGGATTCTGGTGACGCTGAAAGTCCTCATGCATAGCATGACCAAAAGTTGCCTAAATACCCAGAAGTCCTTCTAGTGGTTGTCTGGTAGACTGCCACTAGAGGAAGAATTAACGCTAGCAGGTAATTATTGAAGTTTATTAAAAACTTCAATAATTATATGCTCAGGATTAAAAGGGTGATGGAACACTGCACCTAGACCACTTCAAGGAGCTACAGTGTCCCTTTAAAAATGCACAATTAAATGCATGCATACATTCATTTTGGGTATATCTACTAAACAGTGATTTTGATTTATAGGAACACTAAAGTGTTGGGCGTGCAAAACTGTATTCCTAACACTATAGTGTCCCTCTAACTGTGCCTCCTCACTCCCCCCAGCAAATAAATTGTTTTTCTCCTTTTTTCCACTTACCTGATTCCAGCGTCGAGATCCCTCTGTGCTGGATCGCTCTCCAACGCCCCTGCAATTAAAAATCTTCTCTTCAAGACGCTGGATGTCCTCAGTGTTGTTTCCCGGAACTAAACTCCGTGAGATAGCAGGAAGCACTTTTTGTTTTACATTGCAGGGTTAAGAGTCACAGGGTCACTGATATGAAGTGTGTCTGTAATGTCCCTTTATTTATTTTGAGCAGTGGCATGTCCCTTGACATTGGCAAAAAATGTATTTGTTGACCATGCACCAAAATTTTTAAAGCTGCACTGTCATGCCAAACTTGCCTTTCTTTAGTCGATTCCTCTTCTCTCCCTCTGTCAGGATCTGTTATTCATTTTATTTACATTTATTCATGTCTGCTCTAGTTTTCTTTAAAACATAAGACAGTCTGTTTTGTCTTATGAAGGTTTCCTACGCCTGACAAGCGGAGGAGCAAGGTGTACTTCATTTCCGGTGATCACAGCAATTTCCCCACAATTCTCACCTTTAATCCGTGATCTCGCGATGCTTCCTGTCAGTATTCCCAAACGTCCTGACACTTAGAACGCCAGCAAAACGACTGTTTTTCGTCATAACAGAATGAGAACAGTTTGTCCATTTGTTAGGATGCAATTCTGGACTTTGTTGGCATCGAAATTTCATTCTAATAATGAAACTCCGCTCCTATTCGTTCCTCGGCGGCAGCCTTGCAGCCGTTTAGTAGATTACTCCATAGTTCCCACTGTATCAGTGTCTTTCAGCCAAATTTACTAATTAGTAAAGATTACTTAATATTAGTAAACCCTACTCGCCCTAAATAACAAAGGGGGGGACCTATTGTGCCCCCTCCCACCCCTAAACGGTTGGTGGGGACCCTAAATGAAAAATGTGATGGGGGGGGGGGACCTTTTGTCCGGCCCCCACCCCAGAGTGGCGGGTGGGGGCCTTAAATAAAAATTGGGGGAAACCTATTGTCCCCCCCCAGCTCCCACCCATGAGTGGTGGTGAGGGCCCTAAATGAAAGTGTTAACCCCCTCCACCCCCCCTCCCCCAATTTGACTCCTAACAACACTCTAATTGGTTGCTATCAAACAACCAATCAGAGAGTTATGAGTTAAATTACACAGCATCGGAAAATTCCAAAGAACTTTCACACACTGTGTAAAATGACACAGCGCACTCTGGTTGGACTTCAAGCCAACCAATCAGAGTGCTGTGACAGGTAAATTTAGAAACTTAAACCGACCAATCAGAGAGCTCTGAGCCTAATTGCAGAGTGTGGGAGGGCTTTCCCCACCCTGCGGAGCTTATTCTGCGCCGTGCCCTTTATGGGTGAAGTTGGATTATTTTTTAGTGTCAGGCTTTTTTTTTTGCCCTCTGGTCTTTTATTTTATATTCAAAGTGTCATGGGTATTATGGACGTTTATTTAGCATTTTTTGGGTTGCAAAAAGATTTTACAAAAAAAACAAGACATCAAATGCTAAGTGGTTTTTTATTTATTTTTATTTAGTTTTTACAGGTATTTAGTTCTCTTGATTGCCCCTCACTATTTTTAGGGTGAGGGGGGTAAATAGGGGTTTATTAATTATATTTTTGTTGGGTGGTGGGTGACTAGGGGCTTGGGGACCCCATGTCATCAGGGGGGAGGGGTGTTAACATTATAATTTAGTGCCCCCACCTGCTGCTCAGGTGCCCCCATTACATTTTCATTTAGGTCCCCCCCTTGTTATTTAATGCCCCCACCCGTAGCTCAGGGATGGGGGCAGGGGGAAGGACAATAGTTGTCCCCCGTCGTCCCCCACATTTTCATTTAGGGCCCCCCACCCACCGCTCATGAGTGGAGGCCGGGGGGGGGGAGAACGATAGGTCCCTCCTCCTTATTGTTATTTAGGGCCCCCACCTACGGCTTAGGGGTGTGGGGAGGCAATGGTCCCCCGTTCAGTTTAATAGCCCCCACTCGTGCGGTACAGGTGGGGTCTCTGGAGGGGGGACACTAGGGGTTAGTTTTTATTTTTAATTTAATTTTTATTTATTTTTTAACAGTGAGCAGCCATGGGCTGCTCACTGTTTACTAGACATGCCCCTACTCGCGGTCTAGTGAGTAGGGGCAGATAGTATTAGTACATTTGGCTGAAAGACCAATTTAGGTATTTCAGCCTTTTGGTAGATAGCTCCCTGGTACCGTGGGAATTAGGGAGTTACCTACTAAGCGGCTGCAAGATGCAGCTGTGGCACGAATAGCATCGGAGTTTGTCATTAGAATGAAATTCCGATTCGAACAAAGTCTCGAATTACGTCCTAATTGTTCGCATTCTGTTAGGACGGAATTCGGTAGTTTCACTGGCGTTCTGTCTAAGTGACAGGACTTTTTGGAATACTGACAGGAAGTATCACGAGATCACGGATCAAAGGTGAAAATTGCTTTGATCACCGGAAACGAAGCACACTTTGCTCCTCCACTAGTCAAAGTCGGTTAAGTGTAGGAATCCTCCATAAGACAAAGTAGTTCCTACTTTGTCTTATGTTTTAAAGAAAACTAGAGTAGACAGGAAGAAATGAAGAACAGATCATGAGAGAGGGAGAGAAGAGAAATATATTAACCCCTTAAGGACACATAACGGAAATATTCCGTCATGATTCCCTTTTATTTCTGAGGTTGTGTCCTTAAGGGGTTAAAGAAAGGTAAGTTTGGCATGACAGTGCTGCTTTAACACGTCAGGTCCTTTTAATCATACTAAGCAAACCTAAAGTAAATATAAATGTAACTGTTGCGTAGAGTTATACTTTTGATGCACATAAAATTTGTTGGCCACAGCATTTGTTTAATGTCTTTTTATATTTTAATAAAACACGAACTTTGATTTGAAGTTTTAGTTACACCTACTTCTCTTGCACCAGTTCCTTGGTAAATGAGCATGTGACTGACATGCCCAGAGGCTAGTTTCAGGGTTGGGCTGCTTGAAACTATTTTTCTGAGGTTTCCATTATACATACAGTTCATACCTCTAATGTTCTTGCAGCTCATTGGCACTAATCAGTTGAGCGGGAATTAGATTTTGTAAACTTAATAGCTGCATGTGTTAATTTGGCTAAGTACTAAAACCACTATCCTAAGTACGACAACACTTTGTAGTAGTTTTGCTGTAGAGGTTTTACCATTGGTGCTTGATGCACAACTGTCACTTAACAACCAGTTTTGAAGGGACATACATTATTAGTATTTTTTTTTTTTTTTTTTAAATATGTACATGAAGTAATGTATATGAGAACCTTATCCCTACCGTTGGGGATATATATATATATACGCACGTTGGGTCAGACTGTTTGAAATGTGACAGTCTCTATAGTCTTCTCTGCTTCTGTGCATGGAGTGAAGTTCATGGGGACTGTCAATTTTCAAACGTCTGAAGGTGCATGTATGTCTGAAGGACCTTTCATACTAAAGGTCAGAAAGGGTTTTACAAATTTTGTTTTCACACACCATTTAAAAAAAAAACAATCCTTTCAAAATTTTCTGAAAAGATTAACTGATTTATTTAAAGTTGAACAGTGCTTATGGATTCTTTGTGCCTTGAAGCAGAGCTGTCACTTTGCAGTTTTTGCTTTTAGTTTCTTTTGTTCTTCTGTTTCTTGTTTATCTATTTTAATTCACCTTAGCTTTGCCACGCCCCCCTTTTTATTTATTTTTTCTTTCTTTCAATATATACACTTTTTAAAAATTTATTTTTAATTGCACTTGTGCCGTAACATGTGCTGATACAGTAAAACACATCAGTAAATTGTGTGCCATTTGCAAATTGGAAGATATTTGCAACATGACATCATAAGTTAGACAATTTTCATATCTAGTGTAAGTAAGCTTGGCTAGTAGACACTTATTGATGTGGGGAGAAAATATTTTTTTCTTAAAATATGTGAATACGGAAAGAGAAGAAAAGCCACAAGAGGAGAGATTGGAAGAGCTAAGACTAGTGGTGGTAGGTGAGGAGAGAGGAGGGAGAGGTATGAGAAAAAGTGCTGTTAGGGAAGCAGCATCCCAGGCAGCCCGAATATTTACTGAATTTAGAAGTATTGTTGAGTTTGCGTACCATCTCCTCAAATTATTGAGCTATTTGCAGAGGAGCTATCATCGGTTGTAGCAGTGGTGGCCCATTACTTTTGAAAATGGTATACCATCATGTGGGTAATTCTCATTCCTACGCTACCATGCGGTTTCAAAGGCAAAATAACCAATATGTATAAACTGAAAAATAAAATGTGCTATATTCAACCCTGTAACTTTCCAAAATACCAAAAAACCTGTACATGAGAGGGAGTGTTGTACTTGACTTAATACAAGTATGTGTATTTTATTGCAGTAAAAGTTAACCATATTATGACATTCATAGTTACAATGCCATGCATAACTAAAAAAAATAAAAATTTCTAAATTTCTCACACTTTTAGATTTTATTTTTTTAATCAATTGTTTTATATATAAATATTTGATGTGAAGCGAAAGCCCTGTTTCCCCTGAACAAAATGTATAAGTGTTGGGTGCACTTAATATGAAAGAGGTGAATTACGATTGAACAGACATATTAAGGATGCACCGAAATTTCAGCCGAAAAGGGGTGAAATTTTGCCGAAAAAAGAGGTGTGAGAGGAACGTTAAGCGGGGGGAACCACTAAAAGAGAAGGGGAGTTTTTCATATTAGATTAAATTAATTTAAAAAAAATCTAATAAAATTATGGGAAAAAAGTCGTTTTCGGCCAAGGGCATCCCTATTGTTTTCGGCCCAGAATTTTTATTTTGGTGCATCCCTAAGACCTATTATTTATTATTATTATTATTATTATTATTTATATAGCGCCAACAGATTCCTTAGCGCTTTACAATTTTATGAGAGAGGATTTAACTATAAATCGGACAATTACAGGAAAACTTACAGGAACGATGGGTTGAAGAGGGACCCTATAGTCAAATTCCAGGTTTTGATCAGAATGTGTACAGTTGCCTCCGTCCTTAAGGAGTTTAAAAGTAATTGGATAAAAACTTGCAAAAACATAATATTCAGTGATTCTAACTTTTGATTAGTGGGGTAATAGCTTCTTGATCCCACAGAGTTATGACTGCCTTCTGGGGACAAGAAGCAAAATTGGAAGCACTTCAAACTGTTTTTTTTTTTTTTTTTTTGCCTTCTTTTGGATCAACAGCAAAAACAAATGTGAGGCTGAACTTGGACGCATGTCTCTCTTCAGCTATGTAACTATGCAACATTTACAGTTAAAATGCCATGCAGAACTTGAAAAATAACAATTTCTTACTCAAACCTTTATTTTTGCCTTCTTTCTTACAGGCCTAACCTCTCGTCGGTTTTGGCACACCTCAAACCGACTCTTGCTTTTATTAAATTTACATTTTTTTTTTTTTAATTCTTTATTTTTTTCTGTGCAAGGTAAATACAGGTATATGCGAAGTGTCACAACAGCACTCATAGCGTAAGCAACAAACATTCAATTTGGCACTTGGAATCTGCACATTCAAGCTAGACACAATTTTTAGGTATATAGCAAATAGATGATACGTTTAAACTATGTCCGTAAGCAATAATTCGACAATGGACTAAGCTCTAGAAACTTTAACTGACAGCATGGGTTTGTTTAGCTAGAGTGAGAATCTAGGAGAAGTATGCATGTTAAGGCATAGTAGATAAATGTTATCTTAAACAAGAGTTTAATGTTAGTACACTCGTTTTATAGTTGGGTTCCAGCCTATACATGTATGTCTGATTATGTGAAGCTATGGATTCTGCATTCGGTATAGGTTAGCTATACATGTGGGTAGTTAAGTAAAAACAGAGTTAGCTACATGCTTATAAAATACGAGTCGGAAGAAGATAAAACCTATACTGGGAAGCAGGTAATTGCCAGGCAAGCAGGCAGGCGCTTTTACCTCCCCATAGCTGCGGCCATGTGGCCGCTTTAGAGCCAAATGGCGGCTGTTACAAAGCATCATAGGTCTATGTATAAAAGACAAAAAAAAACAAAACGTAGTCATCAGTTGATGTGAAGCATTGTCCTTGTTGGGCTTTACGTTGGGGCTTTCAATGTCAGGAAGTCCCGGCCACCACCTCTGCAAGTGTCTCTCTTGGAAACTCTGGGCAAGGTGCCTCCGTATCTGGATCCAGCGTTGATGGCGTCCTAAGGGGTACGCTGTCACTTTGTCTCTCAATTTGCAGCGCTGGTGGCGGGAGGTCGTGATGTGCTGTACCAGGCACTAAGAGGCTGGGTTGGGGAGTGCTTCGCCTGTGTCTCTCTTGAGGGGTTCTCGCTGTTGTGTAGCTGCGAGTGGGAGCTTGCGTCTGGGAAACGTGGCTTCTTTACCCGCCTTGAGGGCTGTAGGGATCTGCACTGGAGCGTGGGATGCGCGAACTCCGGCTCCGGTTTCCATCCCTGCTGTACTTCTGTTCCGATACCCGTTGGGAGCTGTTCTGGAGGTACGGGGGGGGGGTCCCTCCTAGGCGGATCCATGCCGCCATTTGTCTCATCATCCGCCTGTAGGACTGCCTCCGGGTTTTCAGGTTTGTCCAGAGGTTGTCGCAGAGCCGGTAGTAGAACTCCCGTGTGTGTTTGGGAGGCTTGATGAGTGCGCGTTGTGTTGTGGATCTTGGGCGGGCCTTGGCGAGTCCGCTTTGCTTTACGTATTGTAGCTTGTTCAGGCTGTGTTTCAGGGGTATTCCTCCCCCGCAAGGACCGGGATATCCCCCGCCGGTCCAGAATGGGGGGTGGGGGGTAGCAGAGCTGCCGTGGGTTCTTGTTTGGGCGCGTTGTTTTAGGTCGGCCGCCTCCTCCGGACCTCAAGCCCCACTCTATTTTTCCGCCACTTATCGGTGCCGGGCCGGTATCATTTTGTGCCTCGTGTTCTGCTGAGTTGGTTCCCGAACACCGTATGCCTCTGGCGTTAGTGGGTCACTCTGTACTTGCATGAATTTGCTTGTTATTGCAGGAGCTCATGAGATGTGCAGCCGGCCATCTTGGCTGCCAAGCCCCGCCCCATCAACTTTACATTTATTATACGCCCCATTCATTATCCCGTACACAAATATTTAATGTAAAATGTAAGCCCTGTGCGACGGCGCTCCTGTACTCTCACAGAGTATCTCATTTAAATCCACATCCCAGCTGCTTGCAGGGACCGTGAAACCCCCCCGCCCCCATCGCCGACGCTTGACTGGGGTCTCTCAGGACCTCTTCACCCGACTAGGCTGCACCTTTCAGGCAGGTATCATCCCCTCTGCCTATTCCGCTGCAGCCCTGTTTCAGATAGCTTTGGAAGCCTTTCATCTCTGCCTGCAATGTGATTTCTCTCAGGCCTAGCACTCTTGATTTATCCCAGGGCTAGAGGGATTGTGCCGCCAGCCAACAGGTACGACAACTCTGTGGCTGGGATCCCTAAAAATACACAAAATACACACAGGACACAGTTCCAAAAGGAACTAACATGCAATACTAAAGACTAGCCCATACGTTTATTACATATAGATTACTGTGACAAAAATTGCAAACATTCAAATCACATTAGACAACATACAGGAACTGATAACATAATGACATATTTATAAAGGGGTGGGAAACACAATGATTAACACACAAACATCTCTCCTGCCTGCAGAAATAGCAATATGCATACAGCGGTTGCTAGATCCTTGCAACCAACAGGTGGCGCTGTACAGGCTCCACAGCCAAATCCACCTAGTTGATTGCAAGCATTAGCAAAAGAGGAGAGCACAATAACATTTAACACTAAATCACATTACACACACCCTGCACCATAATTGAAGAGTCCATCTGTTGCTCCCAGTGGTGGTTACTATGGTCATGCTGTGTTTCTCCTCAACATATTTATATATAAATGTGGTTGCAATTAAAGGACCACTGTAATCACAACTACAGCTTATTGCATTTGTTCTAGTGAGTAGAATCATTCCATTCAGGCTTTTTGTTGTAAGCACTGTCTTTTCAGTGTTTACATTACAGCCTAGTGATAACTCCACTGGCCACTCCTTAGATGGCTGCTAGAGGTGCTTCTGCATACAGACACTGAACTTTCCTCATAGAGATGCATTGAGTCAATTCATCTCTCATCACCATGGTGTGTTTGGCTTCTGCTGGCTCTGCTTCTGATTTGTCTTCTTGACAGCCTCAGCCAATCCATTGGGGAAGCATTGTGACTGACTCAGACCACCACTTCTGATGATGTCAGCAGATGGAGGCCGTTCACAGGCAAACGGGGCAGAGCCAGCAGCCGCAGACTTGTATTCAAGTAAGATTTTACTATATTTAGGGAGGCAAGAGCTTGTACAATTGCCTGCGTCCTTAAGGGGTTAAATCTAAAACTTTTCTTTTAATTGAGATTACTAATTTTGTAATTACAGCTTTAGCTTCTTCATGTGCGTTTCAGCATATTAATATTTTACAGAATTCTTTCTTTAGAATTTAGACCGTTTCTGTGGGGTGAACATGTCAGTTTTATCATTTATAAAGATTTCTGAATTACTTATATGCCGATAAAATAAAACCGCAACTGCATGTAACATTATGAATGTGTTTTTTTTTTTTTCCCCATTATCCTTGAATTATAAAGCCAAAATTTTATTCAAATACCATAATAATCAATAATTAAGAAACCTAGCCTCCCAGGATACAAGTCTAAATAATTAGTCGATCTAGCATAGGAAAAGTCACAGGAATTAAGTCACAATATGTTCTCTGAGAGTGTTATGGCTGAGTTTGAGCACAACTCCCTGCCAAAAATGTTTCTATTGAAGCATGCATACCACTGCTGATTTGTCTTCTTTACTCAATAATAATAATTATTATTATTCAGAAGGATTTAGACTGGATACTTTTTTTTTAAAATTATTATTATTATTTTTTTTCATTCAAACATAAAGAGATAAGACAAATGGAAAAAGGTCTCAGGGAGACATCTTGCTTCTCCTGCAGAAGAGGCCAGATACGGCACGGGTGCCATGGGGATCCATGTAAGTTTGTGAGTCATTCCTAAAGAGTTGGGTAGGACGCAAGGGCACTCCTGGCAAAATAATCCTTGTAGCAGACTGTAGTTGTTATGGTGCTTGTAGAGTTCCTTTAAGTTACCTCTAGTATAGAATGTGTTTAGTAATGTTTTGATTTGACTTCTGACCTGGAGTTCACTGGGTGCTACACTTGCTTCCTCTCTACCAGGAGCTCCTTCTAGGATCTTAATGGGACACTAAAGTCACCCGAACAAATACAGATTAATGTAGTTCTGCTGTCTACTGCCTGTCCATACCATGATTTTAATGTAAACACTGCAAAACACTGCCCCTTTAGAGAAAAGGCAGTTTTTTTTCATTGTTGCTTAGGAACCCCTTTAGTGGCAGTTACTCAGATGGTCACTAGAGGTGCATCATGGGTCAGTTCTGCACAATGTGCATCACTGACGTTCAGCATCTTCACGCTGTGCTTGGAGGCGCTGAACATTCCTCATAGCGATGCATTCAGTGCATCTCTATGAGGAGATGCTAATTGGTGCTAGCCTCCCAATGCTTTCCTATGGAAACGCCCCTGGCATCATATCACTATATCACACTAGTGGTTATGGTGCTTGAAGTGTTTTTTGGCCTGATTTGGGGAATGTCTCTGACCATGTGATAGCTTTGGAAGCTAATCACGCTAATCACAGTGATCATTTGGAGTTAAAGATGTGAATTGTCACTAAAATTCCTTCAACAGCAACCTACTTTTCAAGGTCATGATGTCCCACTGTATTTTTTGTCATGACATTTGGTGTGATGGGGTTAAAATAAATAGGCCTATACTTTTTATGAGCTTCTGTAAATATTATTTACTTGCAATTTAATCTATATTCCACATTTCCTTAAAACAAATATTGAAAGTACCAAGCAGTGCAGTATCTGGTAAATTCTTTTCTAATGACCTTAGCAATGTCTGATAGAGCAGTAGTGAAGGTTTATTTTTAAAATAAATGTTCAAACAGTTTATATCCTCCTCTGGCTGTCCTGCATTCTTTTACGGTAAGGCAAATTACACCTGGGTTTTAGCCCAACTGAAAATTAAATTACGCCTACACTAAAACATACAGATTTTTTTTCAAGCAACTTTTACAAATGATTCCTCTTATTGGCTTGGAGTATTTGAGGCTTTCTCTTTCAAGAAAGAGAGAGAGAAGTGGAAGTGCAGGGGCTTTAAACAGCGCTGGACTGAAGACTTTGGGGTTAAAAAGTTAATGAATGGTTTACCCCTAAAGGTAACTCTGCACCGGGGATCTCCAGATTTAGAACCAAAAGTTGCCGAACCTTAGAAGTGGCGTTAACCCTCCAGAGGACCTACGGACCTTGCGGACCATGAACTCCTCTATATACCAAAATATTCTAGAGTTAAATGTGAGGCCATCTGTCCAACAGCTCACACTTGGAAGAAATTGAGTGATGCAACAGGACAATGGTCCTAAGCACATCAACAAATCAACAGAATGGCTGAAAAAGAAAAGAATCAATGGCCCATTCAAAGTCCATGCCTAAACCCGATTGGAATGTTGTGGTGAGACATTATAGGCACCCAGACCACTTCAGCTCATTGAAGTGGTCTGGGTACATATTGCCAGGTTCACTTAATGCTGCAATATAATTATTATTGAGACACTGCAATAATTACTATCAAAGGTTAACTCCACCACTAGTGGCTGTCTACGAGACAGCCACTAGAGGGATTTCTGGTTCATTAGGCGGCTTTTGAAAAATGTCAGTGGTCCCATATGACCACACAAGAAAACAGGAAGACTATAACCAGCGCCTGGTGGACCAGAAGTACGTTTTCAAGTTTCATGCTTTGAAGATCATTTGAAAGAGATTCCAATTATATCTATACATTTGCAGTTTTGCTATCAAATGTAGGGATAAAACCTATTTAAAGATTGTTTGTTTGTTTTTTCCCATCTGTCTCCCAATTTACACGTGTGTGTGTGTGTGTGTGTGTGTGTATGTATATGTGTGTATATATATATATACGTTATATTAATATAAAAATACACAGTCAAATTACACACGTGTGTGTGTGTGTGTGTGTGTGTGTGTGTATATATATATATATATATCTCTATATCTCTCTATATCTCTCTCAAAATACACTTAGAATTAAATTTTTATGTGTGTGTGTGTATAATTTCACCTTAACGACAGAGGACAAACTAGGTACGTCCAACAAAAAAACGGCCGTTAAGGACGTCAGCGACAGGAGCTCTGGACCGACGATCTACGTCGATCACGGTGTGGGTGGACTGCCAGAGACCCCAGCAGCCCCCCTACAGCACACTCCGGCCACACCGACCCTCCACGGCCTTGCGATCACCATGATCACATCACCGCAATAGGACTCTAGGAGCTGCCAGCAGGGGGACTGTCTGACCTATCAGGCATTCCCCCAGGCTGCAAAAAAATTAATAAAATAAATATATTATACATATACAGGTGGTCCTCATTTATCGACCTACTTGTTTTACCACGGCTTGCACTTACGACCAGGCATTAGTTCAAGCTGTCATGGGAATTCCCTGCTCTGGTGCGTATGTATATGTTCGGGAAAACTTCCCCGAACATAGACGAACGCACCAGAGCAGGGAATCCCTCAAATCTATGTTCGGGGAAATTTCCTCGAACATAGATTAGAGGGATTCCCTGCTCTGGTGCGTACATAGACAAATGCACCAGAGCAGGGAATCCCTTAACTCCTCACTTACCGACCGATTTGTTCTACGACCAGGTCATAGGAAGGGAACCCGGTCGATAACTGAGGAGTGTCTATATTAAATATGTGTAATATATTATAACATAATTAATTTTATAATATATTAGACATATATAATGCATCTATATGATTTCATTATAAGTGTACTTTGATATGTATCTCAAAATACACTATGATGAAATCATAGATGCATTACATATGTATAATATATACACGCGCACATTATATATATATATATATATATATATATATATATATATATATATATATATATATATATATATATATATAATATAATCTCAAAACATTTATACAAAAACAAATAAAACCACTAACTTTGGCCAGCATTTGTGACTCAGTGGCTACAACAAAAGACTGGAGTACCCCATTTGGAATACCCTGGGTTGTCTACATTTGAAAATGGTATGCCATGATGGGGTTATTTCACATTCCTGGGCTACCATATGGTCTCAAAAGGCAACAAAGGTCCAGCAAACCAATCTGGTAGATCGGGCAAGCCCTATATTGACCCTGTGATTTTCCAAAACACCAAAAAACCTGTACATGGGGGGTATTGTTATATTTGGGAGACTTCGTTGAGCACAAATATGAGTGTTCTAAATCAGTAAAACGTATTCCAACGATTAAATCACCAGTAAAAGTGCAGTTTTTGTGTAAAAAAAAACAAGAAATAAAGAAAAATGCTAGTGGCTACTACAAAAGACTGGACATATACCCCATTTTGATTACCCTGGGTTGTCTACTTTTACAAATTGTATGCCATGATGAGGTTCATTTTAATTCCTGGGCTGCTATATGGTCTCAAAGTCAACATAGGTCCAGCAAACCAATCTGGCAAATTTCAATGTGCAAACATGGAAAAGGGTAAAGCCCTACATTTGACCCCTGTAAGTTTGCAAAAGCCCATAAAACCTGTACATTGGGGGCACTGCTGTATTCGGGAGATGTTGCTGAACACATATTGGGGGTTTCTTTGTCAGTAACACATAAACGGAACTAAAAATCCATGCCTAAAGTACAATGTGAGAGGAAAAATAACAAAAAAAGACTCCAAAAGTTTGACACAGGCTGGTGGTAGAATTAGTGCATGGAAAGTGTTAAAATACCACTATTTGAAATACCCTAGGGTGTCTACTTTTCAAAACTATATGGTTTGATGGGGGTAAATTTATATTGTCTGGCTTCACAAATGTCCTTAATGGGGCATGGGTGCATGATGACCAGCTGTGAAAATTCCAAGTTGGAAAACTGGAATGCGCACCCTCCAAATAAGGTCTTTTAGCCCCCAGAGAACTTGACACACCTCTACATGGGTGGTATCTCTGTACTCAGGAGAGGATGCTGAATACATATTGGGGTGTTCTTTGGCAGTAACCCTTAATGTTCTCAGTACATATATTCTTAAATTGCTTTGTCTCTCAAAAAAACCTCCAATTATTATTATTATTTTTTTTAAATTTGGCGTAGATTGGTGGTAAAATGGCTGCATGAAAAGATTCAAAATACAAATGGTTTAATACCTTAGATTGTCTTCTTTTAAAAAATATATACATGTGAAGGGTTATTCAGGGATTCCTGACAGATATCAGTGTTTAAAATGTTAATTTTGAAAAAAATTGGTTTGGAAATGGCAAAGTGCTACTTGTGCTTATAGCCCTTTAACTTTCCAAAAAAAGCTAAGAACATGTTAACATTGGACATTTCTAAACTCAGGACAAAATTTAGAAACTATTTAGCACGGGTGTTTTTTTGGCAGTTGTAGATGCGTAACAGATTTTGGGGGTCAAAGTTCGAAAAAGTGTGTGTTTCCCCATGTATGTATCAATGATAAATTATACATTTGTGATATACAGCTTCTCTAAATTTAATTCACTTAACGTTTTACATATACCACTTTTATTGGTTTTATTTCATACAAGGAACCTCAAGGAAATTGTATTTCTTTCTTTTTTTTCATGACCCTAAATATACTTCATTTATTTTCTAGGTATTATGACCAGCTATGTTCAGTAGAGCCAAAGTTCCCGTTTACAGAAAGTCAGGTACAGTTAACAGTAATTTTTGTAATACAAGATGTCATTAAATGTGATCATTAATTCCATATACAAGCAACTCTGAAATTATGCTTTATGGCTGTGTTTATGTCATGTATTTACAAATAAGGTATTTATTTATTTTTTTTCTCCAATATTTCAGCTATGTCTAACTTTTACATGGAAAGATGCCTTTGATAAAGGATCAATATTTGGAGGATCTGTGAAACTTGGTAAGTTCGTATTCAATTTGAGTAATAAGAAAAAAGCTGAATTTGCATACTTTAATATTGTTTCTTGTATGCAAAGTACAGTGGCACCTCGGTTTACAAACACCTCGGTTAACATCATTTTCGGTTTACAAATGAAAATCCATTGAAAATAATGCCTTGGTTTACAAATTTTTTCGCAATACAAAGCAAGTTTCCCCGGGATGCATTGCACCTGGGAGGTTTATAGCACCGCCCCCTGCATGCTGGAGCCTGTGGGTAGCACGTGGCATCAAGTGTGGAGGTGTTGGAGCGGCTTTTGCATAGAGTTTTGGAGCCATTCTGGAAATTGTTTGCAGTTGTTTTGGGACTTTTTGGGGCATTTCTCAAGCTGTGGAAAGTTAGGGAGCCGAGCTTTGTCGTTTGCATGCCTTTTGTGTGTTCTTCATTGTGGGTTGGTTTCCATGCTAGCTCATTTTGACTTTTTTCTGACCTCCAGAACGGATTAATTAGTTTTCAATGCATTCCTATTGGAAACCGCGTTTCGGTTTACAAATTTTTCGCAATAAGAAACGTCCTGGAGAACGCATTAAATTTGTAAACCGAGGTCCCACTGTAAATAATTTATGCACACACCAAAAGAGTTGTGTGGGGGTAGGGAAGGGAAGTGTGGATGAAAACCTCTTCCACCCTAAGTGAATAGTTAAAACATTGCTAAACACAAATACAGACACCAGTCAAGCCATGAGACTTGCTAATCTCACTACTGCATGGGATTCTGGGTAGGGATATGCAAATGAGCTCAACAAAGAACCAAATTTTTGCCTCATAATTCCACTTTATGCATAGATTCCTTGGAGTATGTTGTGGCGCGAACCCTGCCTGTTTGTGAATTGCTGTATTCTATTCTGTAGCCTTGGCGCTTGCCTCCCCTGGGTGGCGACCCGTTGGTTAAACGAACGCCGCCCAGGGGGAGCATTTGCAGATTGCTTCCCACCTCATTTGGTTCCCGAACGAGGACCCCCCCAGTACCCCTTGGAATGTTTGCACCAATCAATTAGAACGTTGGCAACTTGCAAGGAAAGTAATTAATGAGCGCTTCCCTGGGTGGTTGCCATTTGTATAGCCGAGCGGCCATTTGTGTCATGAAAGGAGATTCCTCCCTTGCCTGGATTCACCCAGGGACCCTGCCAAAGGAGGCTGTTCATGGTGTTTTCCATTCTGGGGGTCCCTGAGATTGGTGGGACACTCTTTGGGGACAATGGCGGTTTGGCGTGCTTTCTGTAACTGGTAGTCCAGGAGGCGGGGAGCTCTTCCTCGCTGGTGTTCCCAGGCAAAGAGGCTCATGGGAGAAAGACTCCTGGTCACCGGAGGTGGGAAACCCTCAGGATGGATGGCGGGAATAGGGGACAAAGGGACTGGAGTTACTGGGTCGGAAATGGGTCTCTCTGTATTTTAACTGACTTCCTTTTAGGGGAGGACGTGGCTGAGCAGGGACAACCAGCCGGGTTGCTAGCAGGCCCGCTACATAAGTGTCTGCTGTATACAACAGCTTTGAAATACAACTCAGGAAGAGGAGCAAAGCCGGTGAACCACTCATGGACAGCTGTTTCGTTAATGCAACTCATCAGCATGAGTTTGGTTCCAAGGAATCCATGTATAAAGTGGAATTATGAGGAAAAATGTGGTTCTTTGTTGAGCTCATTTGCATATGCCTCCCCAGAATCCCTTGCAGTAGCGAGAGCACTGTTAAAGTGAATTTCTGTGGGAAAAGCAAGTCTTATGGCTTGACTGGTGTGTGTATTTGTGTTTAGCAATGTAATATATAGATATCTATAATGTGGCAGACCGACCGCAAGACCTTATTCTCTGGAACTGTTTTTGGCATAGGATCAAATTATGACTTCCAGGAAATTCCTGAACCGATCTGGGTGGTTTTTGGATATGTTGGTCACCCATATCGGGGCTATCAGGGGATGTAACTTTTGTGGGGGTTTTGTGTGTTTTTAAAGGTATTTTTGGAGTTTTGTAAAAAAATTATGTTCCTGGAGATAATTGAGTTTAGTACAGTTCCTGATTCCATTATCTCTCAAGCACAGGGGATGGAATGACCTATTTTGTATGGGAGTGTCCTCGACCTGAGAGCCAATGTAATCGTGTGTGTGTTTTTACTGTAGTCTACTCTCAGGTACAGGGGCGTTTGCATGGGGACCTGCATATAAGGCCAGTTGTGGCTGCCAATAAATGAGTTCCAGTTTACCCTCCACACACAGCCTTGTCTCGTGCTTGCAGGGGAAAGCTATACCAGCTATAATCCTTGTTCTTTGGATTGCTATAATCACTAGCTCTTGTATACCACCTATAATCACTAGCTCTTCCCTGTTATTTTCGTATGTATGTGCCTGCTCAATGTTCTGGAGGTCCTACACGAAGGTAATGCATTCACCTGCTCTCTTGGAGGAAAGGTCTTCTCACTGGGAGCTGGATCCAGGAGTTTGTCCAGGGTGAGAAGGGTTTGCGAGACCCCAGCCAATCTGCAGTGGCTAGGGGGCTACGGTGCTTATGGTGTCCGGTGCAGTGCTTATGGTACTCGGCGACAACTAGGAAGCTGTGATTGGCGGAGGCAATATATTACACAATATATTATAGAGTAGATTGGATTAGCAGTATTACTCCAGTAGACAAGATGCCAAAATACCAGAGTATTGCAGTATGCACTGATATCTTTTTTATTGGACTAACATAATATTTCAAAGACAAGCTTTCGAGAGTTTTCCTCTCTTCTTCAGGTCTTACGCAATACTGATCAATCTGAAAGTTTTACACTTAAGACAACTGATGTTAGAGAAGGGAAGGGAGGGTGTGAGTGAGGTGTCATAAATAGCAGAAGATGTGCCTGAAAATGAAAGGTGCAGGTTGGCCGAGAATAGCCAGAAAACAAAAACCCCTACAAAAAAAATGCAGCATAGCAGGGCATGCAAGTATATAGCTGCATATATGATGTATGTATATAAATCGATCTAATAAAAATGAAGCGAGAATATTGAAAAAGACGTATATAAGACATTAAGATGTGTGTTTATAAAATGTTTTGGTAGTGTGTGAGAAAGCCAGAGTCTACATTAAGTCCTTTTATTTCTGGTGTTAAAATGTGTGATAATTTTCATCTCAAATGTGTTTCGTTCATGAGTGTCTCTGAAATTTGATTTAAGAACTTTTAATCCTGAGGTTTTGGATGGAATGACCAGTTTGGGTGAAGTGATAACCAACAGAGGTACAATATCCATTTTCCTTGTGGTTCTTGATTGAGTGTCTGTGTGGATTCATTCTGAGATGCAGTTTAAGGCCAGTTTCTCCAATGTAGTAGCCTTTGTCACACACTGTACACTGTATCCTGTATACCACATTCGCAGATGTGCATGAATATGATCCCTTTTATACAGACGCACTAACGTTTCAGCACACTCTCTCATCTACTAAACAGCAACCTCAAATCTCACAGATTTTATTAGTGTTTTTTGTTTGTTTGTTTTTTAACTCCTAATCTAGACAAAAATGTGCGTTTAGTTACAGTATATGATTATATATTGCATAAGCCTGCCACAAGGCCAATGTACGTAATGTACATTAGGTTGTTGGAGTAGGACCTGCCAAAGATGGAATACATTAACGTTGTGGCAGGCTTATGCAATGTATGATCATAAAAAATGACGGACTTAACCCATTTGCAATGCCTAGGGTTGTCTACTATTGCAAATGGTATGCCATCATGAGGGTAATTCTCATTCCTGGGCTACCATATGCTCTCAAAGGCAACTTAAAGGGACAATCCAGTGCCAGGAAAACAAATCGTTTTCCTGGCACTGCAGGTCACCTCTCCCTCCCACCACCCACCCCATATTGCTGAAGGGGTGAAAACCCCTTCAATGACTTACCTGAGACCACTGCCGATGTCCCTCGGCGGTGGTTTAGGGTCCGCCCATACTCGAGAGACCGATTGTGCATGTGCGGCCTCCGGCGGGATGAAACCTAATGAGCATGCACGGCAATGCCGCACATGCGCATTAGACTTCCCCTTAGGAAAGCATTGAAAATGCTTTTGATGCTTTCCTATTGGGATTTTAGCGACGCTGGAGGTCCTCACATAGCGTGAAGATGTCCAGCGACTCTATAGCACAGAAAACCTGTGCTATAGACAAGGAAGTGCCCCCTAGTGGTTGTCTAGGACCGCCACTAGAGGAGGAGTTAACCCTGCAATGTAAATATTGCAGTTTATGAAAACTGCAATATTTACACTTGCAGGGTTAAGGGTAGTGGGAGTTGACACCCAGACCACTCCAATGGGCAGAAGTGGTCTGGGTGCCTAGAGTGTCCCTTTAACCAATCTGACGAATTTCAGTGTGAGAAAAATGTAACATGCTATATTTGACCCTGTAGCTTCCCAAAACACCATAAAACCTGTACATAGGGGTTACTGTTTTAAACGTGAGACATCGCTGAATAAAAATGTGTATTTTATTGCAGTAAAAGCTAACAGTATTATGACATTCACAATTAAAATGCCACGTGGAACTAAAAAAATAAAAATTTTCTCCCATTTTTGTATGTTTTATTCATATTAAATTATGTTTCATTGCTAAATATTTGATGATAAATGAAAGCCCTGTTTCCCCTGAATAAAATTATTTATAATAAGTGTGTGTGCACTTAATATGAAAGAGATGAATTACGGTTGAACAGACATATAGTCAAATTCCAGGTTTTGTTTACGTTTTGGGTTGATCAAAAGTGTACATTTGGCTCAGTCCTTAACCCCTTAAGGACACAGCTTCAGAAGCTTGACTTACGCTTAATGACACAAGCAATTTTTGCATTTTCTTGCTGTTTGCGTTCAACTGCAATTTGCATCTCTCTCATTTATTGCACCGACACATATTATATACTGTTTTTTTAAAGGACAGAAAGGGCTTTAATTTGATATAACATATATATATATATATATAAAAATGCTTGCTTACTTATAAAAAAAATACAGAAAAATGCAAAACAAAAGAAAAATATTGTTTTTTTTTTTTTTTTTTACAGTTTTTGCAATTATAATGTGTGCATAATTAGTGCAGGTTAAGGAAAGTAATTAAAAATTTATTTATTTGTTCTGATTTACAGAATATATAATGTGTCTGGGATTTAAAGTTTTTCTTGGTAGTTACAGGTCACAAAGCACAAGGAGTAAAATAAACTTTTAATGTGGAGCGATTTTAGAATTTGGTATGTTTGTCTTGTAAGCTTAATAGCCATAAAAGAAAACAAAATTGCCACACAAAAGTATATATTTATATATAGTAGACATCACGGGCTATTTACCTAAGGTTGTTTTGACACTTTCTACGTAGCCATTTCACCGCCAACCTCTGCTAAATATTGGAGTAAAATTGTGTTCTTTTTGGTTTTTGGCACACAAACTTATAACAGAGAAATTCTCATGTATATTTTGTAAAGTTGGTGTGTGCTATTCCTGTACAAAGTTTTATTTTGTGTTCAGTTACATCTGCTGAGTAAAATGACACCCCATTGTATGTCTTTTGCACTATTTCGTGAAGTTACAGTGCCATACAGGATACCTGTCCTTTTCAGTATTCACAGTAGAATTTTGAGAGATGAATTTAATGAGCCTTAGCTTCCATTTGGGGTATTATAACAGTTTGACTGTTCAAAAAACCCCCACAAAGGCCTACCATTTGTAAAAGTAGACACTCCAGGGTATCTTATAAGGTGCATATTGTGCCTTAACATGCACCCATTTTTTCACCAATATATGCCAAAGTATGTGGTAAAAAATAATTTGGGGCATTTTTTACATACGGATTGCATTTTTGCTGGGCGTTTTGTATATTTCATATGTGCCACTAAGTTCAAACCTCCCAAATTATGCTCAGCTAAGTTTTTTGAGTAAAAATACACCCCCAATGAATGTCTTTGTCACTATTTTGTGAAGCTACAGTGCCATATAGGAGACCAAGCCATATCCGTTTTTACCAACTTTGAATTTTGATGCTGGGCCTATGTGCAATTTCCAAGCATCTTCGCAGGTTTTAAATTCAAACTACCCCACAAAGGCCTACCATTTCTTAAAGTAGACACCCCAGGGTGTTTCAAAAGGTATAGTTTGAACCTTAGCGTGGGATCATTTTTCCGCTAGCTTGTACCAGATGTAGTGGTAATAAGCGTTTTTTCTGCCTTTTTGACATACAAAGTGAGTTTGCACAGTATATTTTGCAAACCTTATGTGTGCTACGACTGTATAATACTTCATATGTTGCTCAGCTATGTCGGCTGAGTACAGCAATACCCCCGTATGTACCTTTGCCAGGTATGTGTGGACATCGGAGGGGCACATTTGGGACACAGCCATTCCAGTTTTTTTCAAACTTTGAATTTTTATGCTGTGCCTATGTCCCATTTTAGAGTATTTTACCAGGCTATATAATCCAAATTCCCCATAAAGCCATACCATTTCTTAAAGAAGACATCCCAGGGTATTTCAAAAAGGCATATTTTGAACCTCAGCGTGGGATCATTTTTCCGCTAGCTTGTACCAAGTGTAGTGGTAATAAGCATTTTTCTGCCTTTTTGACATACAAAGTGAGTTTGCGCAGCATATTTTGCAAACCTTATGTGTGCTATGACTGTATAATACTTCATATGTTGCTCAGCTATGTCGGCTGAGTACAGCAATACCCCCGTATGTACCTTTGCCAGGTATATGTGGATGTTGAAGGGGCGCATTTGAGACGCAGCCATTCAGTTTTTTTCTAACTTTGAAGTTTTACGCTGTGTCCATGTTCCAATTTGGAGTAGTTTAGACGGTTGGTTATTGAAACTTCCCCACAAACACATACTATTTATTAAAGAATACACCCTGGGGTAATTCAAAAGGCATATTTTGAACCTTGGCGTGGGATAATTTTTTCTCTAGTTTGTTCCAGGTGTAGTGGTAATGAGCGTTTTTAAAATGTATTTTTTTACTTTTTATAACTTTTTTACTTTTAAAAACTAGTTTTTAAACTTTTGTTTTGCTTATAATTTTTTTTAAAACTTTCCTAAACTTTCTTAAAACTTTTTTTACAGATTTAACATTTTTCTAAGCTTTTTTTTAACCGTTAACCCCTAACTAGCAGTACGCAGCACTAACAGTAAATTCCCCATTTTCCCATAACTCCCACCCACCCCAGCTAGCAAAATATATAGTTATAAAATATTTAAATTAATTAATTAAATAAATTGAACCCCTGAGGGTTAAAAAAATAAATAAAAGTTAATCCTCAGGGGTTAAAAAAAATTAGATCACAGTATAATACTGTGATCTCTATTTGATCGCTGTAGGCAGTGATCGACTGGCAGGGAAGGGGTTAATTTTTATTTGGACTAGGTAAAGTGTTTTTTTTGTTTTTTTTTACTTAAATGTTATTAAAACATTTTTTTAAGCTTAATTTTTAACTTTTTAAAGTTTCTTTTAAAACTTTTTTTTAACGTTAACCCCTAGTTAGCCTAACGCCAAATCCCCCAATTCCCCACTAACTTCCACCCACCCCAGCTATCTAAATATATAATTTAAAAATAATTTAATTAATTAATTTAATTAATTTAACCCCTGAGGGTTAAAAAAAAAAGAATTAACCCTCAGGGGTTAAAAAAATAAATCAGATCATAGTAAAATGTAATCCCTGCCAATTGATCACTGTAGTCAGTGATCAATTGGCAGGGAATGGGTTAATTTTTTATTAAAATGGGTAAGGGGGGGACACTTTAAATTAACTTTATTTTTTTTTCCAGCAGGGGGCAGGATCATCACTGATCCGGCTCCCTGCACTTCACACAGAACCCGGAAGTGCAGGGAGCCGGTAGGTGAGTATACAGAGCACATGTGCTCGCTCTGACTTGCGGTCAGAGCAAGCACATGTGCTGGGCAGCCTGACCGTGTGCTCCCGGTATGCCTCTAATGCAGAGGCATACCGGAGCACCATTAACCCCGCGATTGCTGCGATAGCGGCGATCCGGGGTTAATTTTACCGCGTGACGGGTGAGGTCCGTCACCCGTCGTTAAGGGTCTCCCCTCTGTGACGGACCTCGTCCGTCACCCGTCCTGAAGGGGTTAAGCGGCTAAAGGAGTAAATGTTATGGACTTGTCAACATAAATAACAATGCCTCCTCCTCTCTTTGCTGTGTCATTTCTAAAACATGAATAACCCTGTATTGCAATGGCGGAGTGATGATGTAACTTAATTCTGTACTAGAAGAAATATAGTTTTCTCAGTAATTTCACTTAGTCTATCTAAAGTTCTGCACCAGTTTTTAGAATGTTAAATGCTTTACTGTAGTCCCTTTCCTCTTCTCTTCCAAATCTCACCATTCCTTATAACCCCATACATTTTTACATTTAGATACATTCAGGGTGGATTTGATTTAAATCAAACGGATTTAAATCAATAGTCAGTAAGGCTTGATTTAAATCATAGTTTTCTACATAAAGACAAATTCTTGCTGGTATAACTTTATTATGCAAGTAGATGAAGATTTTTAAAATAACAACAACAACTTTTCATATGTTTTTTCATCCCCAGTTTAAAATAGGTTAATCATTCATATTTGGACAACCTTTCTGTTGTACTTAGGAAGGAGAAAAATAATCATTACCTTAATAAAAATTTAAATAGATTTATTCAACTGAAACAATAACATTACAGCATATGTTATTTGCTTAAACAAACATCCATGTTTCTTAACTAATTTGGCTAAACAAAATATATATATTTTTTTTTTTAGAAACTTAGACTGTCAGCCCAGCCTACACATGAAAAACTTAAATACTGTCCTCTGTAGCTCATTCGTCATCTTCATCTTCTTCTTTGTTCATAATCTGGAAAAGAAAAACAAGCTATCTTGCTTTATCGGGTCCCAAACGATTTCTCAATTTAGAATGAATGAGTCCAAAGGAAGAGCATATTCTTTCAGCGCCTGCAGAAGAAGCTACTGCTGTTAAAAATGAAATCCTTACTTGAACAGTCTCTAAATCAAAGTGCTTAAGTGACTTCCACCAGTTCACTGGTGTGACATTCTTTAAAATATCTTCAGCAAACATATATTTCTTGAATGGTTCCCCCTTAGCTTTGAAGTTTTATTATAGTTGGCATTACAGATGGATGATTGGATACCCATGTCATAGCTAACTCCTCTTCCTCAGCACCCTGGTACTGGATATTGACAATATTTGCCAAAAAATGAGCTGGAGACAGTACTTGTCCCATTTGTTTTTTTTTTTAATGCTTTTAATTTAATTCTGTCCATGTATAGTTCTGTTTTTAAGTGTTCACTCAGTTCCTTCCAAATTCAACAGCATCAGCAATAAAACAGCTGTTTTTCTGTATTTTGTTTAAAGCTTCAGTGATGGGTTTCAGGGTGCTCAGCATATGTTCAACATTTCTCTTAAGCCCAATGTTGAGGATTTTGGCCGTGACAGTGCCATCTATTTTATCTCGATTTTGTTCACAAACTGTCATCAGAATAGGCCAGTTCTTGATATACTGCTCAAAACAGCCCACCACAGAGTTCCATCTAACATCTTGTGGGAGCGTTAGCTTGGTTCCACCCATCCTTTTCAGAGCTGCTGCAGCAAAATCATTGTTACGGAAGTATTTAGCAATTTCAACAACATTGGTCTTTATTTCTGGAACACTTAAAGCGGCACTGTCATGCCGAACTTACCTTTCCTCAATCTCTACCTCTTCTCGCCCTGTCTCAGGATCTGTTCGAATGAATGAAACTCCGATCCTATTCATACTGTGGCTGCATCTTACAGCCGCTTAGTAGATAACTCCCTAATTCCCACGGTATCAGGGAACTATCTACTTAAAGGATGAAAGACCTAAATTGGTCTTTCAGCCGAATTTACTAATACTAAGTAAAAATTACTTAGTATTAGTAAATAATATGCCCCTACTATACCGCGAGTAGGGGCATGTCTGGTAAACAGTGAGCAGCCTGTGGCTGCTCACTGTAAAAAAACCAAACAAAAATAAAACTATTGGTCCCCACACCTAAACGATGGGTGGGGGCCCTAAAGTAAAATAAGGGGGGAGACCTCTGCGCGGTTGGTGGGGGTCATAATGATAATGAGGGGGGGCCTACTGTCCACCCCCCCTCCGGCCCCCACCCCTGGACGGCGGGTGGGGGCCATAATAATGAGGTGGGGGGAGACCTACTGTCCACCCCGGCCCCCACCCCTGGGCGGCGGGTGGGGGCTATAAAAACAATGGGGGGGAACCTACTGTCCTTTCCCTCGTCCCCACCCCACGGCGGCGGGTGGGGGCCAAATGATAATGAGGGAGGGGACCTACTGTCCACCCCCCCTCCGGCCCCCACCCCTGGGCGGCGGGTGGGGGCCATAAAGATAATGGGGGGGGGACCTACTGTCCTCCTCCCCTTCCCCCCACCCCTGGGCGGCGGGTGGGGGCCCCTTAGTCAATTCCCCCCCCCTACAAGGTGACTAGGGGTCCCCAAGCCCCTAGTCACCCCCCCACCCAAATAAAAAGTCCCTACCTACCCCCCTCACCCTAAAAAATAGTGAGGGGGGGAATAAAATAACTAACCTGTAAATTAAAATTAAACTTACCATTCAACGTCTTCTTTTTTCTCAAATCTTCATTTTTCAGCCCCAAAAAAGGCCAAATAAAAAACCATCATAACCGTCGAATTTAAAAAAAAAATCCCGAGCGTAAAAAAAAAAACTGACGAAAAAGAAAAAACGCGAGCGCAAAAAAAAAAATCCATCTTCACCCATGGAGGGCTCCGCGGGGCGGGGGAAGGCTTATAAAACCTTGCCCCGCCCTGCAATTAGGCTAAGAACACTCTGGTGGGTTTAAGCCAATCAGAGTGCTCTTTGTCATTTTACACAGCGTGGGAAAATTCAAAAGAAAAGGGTCGGGATTTTTTTTTTTTTTTTTGACGGTTATGTTGGTTTTTTGTTTGGCGTTTTTTGGGGCTGAAAAATTAAGATTTGAGAAAAAAGACGTTGAATGGTAAGTTTACTTTTATTTTATTCCCCCCTCACTATTTTTTAGGGTGAGGGGGGTAGGTAGGGACTTTTTATTTGGGTGGGTGACTAGGGGCTTGGGGACCCCTAGTCACCTTGTGGTGGGGGGGAATTGACTTAGGGGCCCCCACCCGCCGCCCAGGGGTGGGGAGGACAGTAGGTCCTCCCCCCTTCATTATCTTTATGGCCGCCGCCCAGGGGTGGGGGCCAGAGGGGGGGGGGTGGATAGTAGGTCCCTCCCCCCTCATTATCAATATGATACACTGATACTCAATGTTTGTTTGTTCGGCTGATATTTCTATTCACTCGTTCGTCTGTCTGATGAATGAATGAATAGATGAAATTCCCGTTCGCATGTCCAGGTGTGTCACTGGGCATGTGCGGGAATCTCAGTGCTATCTAGTGTGGGCAGATGACGTGTCCCACAGGGACTTCATCTACCCACACAAAGATGGCGGCGCCCTGAATAAAGATCGGGGCAGATAATAAGGAATAAAAAAATAGGTAATGTGGGGGGGCTCAGGGGCATTTGGGGGTGACTAGGGTGTCAGATGTAGTGGAGGCTGGAGGGGGCTTAAAAAAACCAAAAAAACAGGATTCGGCATGACAGTGCCGCTTTAAGTCTTTGGCTAAGAGGTGCAGCAAATGAGCACTGCAACCATATGTTATAACCTTTGGATGGTAATATATGTTCCTCAAAAAGCATTTTAATTTAAAAAAAAAATCATTGATTTTTATCCACCCTGGATACATTAGAGATGATTATTTCTTATTAGCTCATATTAATGCTGTTTTTATAAATGCTGTTTTCATTCATAGATAAATAGAAATGTGATAACTATTCTTGTTTGCTCTCTTTTTAGCCCTTCCTAGTTTAGGCTATGAGAAGACATGTGTTCTCTTCAATATCGGTGCTTTGGCTAGCCAGATTGCAACTGAACAGAATCTTGATAATGATGAAGCATTAAAAACAGCTTCCAGGTTTTATCAGGTATGGGAATCCAATCTTTGGTTTTGACCTTTATTTATTAACTTTTGACAAATTTTGTACATAACAAAAAGTAAAAATAAAGGGGTGCTTTTAAGCAACATGGCAATTATGGTATTTTATGTGATGGTTATGTATTTCATCAGTACCTTATTTAGTGTACCAGAGTATAGTTTGTATATGTTGTTTTTTATGTTTGAGTATGAATATAAAGTAGGGGTAAAATTTATCATGATTGTCTTTCTGTGGTAGCTTGTAGACTTATGCACAATGCTATTCACCTGTGCTGAATGAATCAAATTTCTGTTCTTCCAGTGAATTGCCGGTATTTGATTAATTCAGCACAGGTGAATGGGATTTGTGCACAAGTCTAGTAACTTTCATGTATGGATAAATGTTTGTATTAATAATATCGACAAATTTTATAGTGTCACATATAACTAGTATTATAACCTGTGTAAATGGTAATTATAACATCTCTAGCATTGATGTTATGCAAGTAATCCCTCCCTTCTATAATAGAACCCCTTATTTCCCCTGTAGTTTACCTGTCTTTCCCCAATTCTCATCCCACATTCTGATGTCAGTTAAGGAACATTAAAGGAACACTAGGCATCCATACCACTTCAGCTTATTGAAGTGGTGTGACTGCAGTGCCCCTGTCCCATTAACCCAGGGTTAACTCCATCTCTAGTGGCTGTCTAGCAGACAGCCACTAGAGGCACTTTTGGGTCGTTGGTCGTCTGACACTGGACTACCTCACACTCTGCATAAGGAAATCAAGCTTCGGCTAAAACTACTTAAGTAAGCATTAGGGAGGGGAGGGCTTGAGCGAGGTGGCACTATAGGGTACTATAGTGCTAGTAATACAACTTTGTATTCCTAGCACTAAATTTTCCATTTAACCTTATCAAAGCCGCCCACTTACATTTCTTTAAGACATGGAGTTACACAGAACAAACTTGCAGATATGGACAAACACTGATGTGCTTACTGCACGTAGGCATACATTCTCACATGATATAAATACAGTCATGTAAATCCGATCACACATATTCTACACTCAGTCAACAGAGGCATAAATTCAGATATGCACATCAAGATGTACAAAAACACAGCATTCTCACACTAGTGCAGCGGGCTGTAGTGGTTATTTTGCTTGGAGCGTGTTTTTTAATAGGGATTCTTTAGTTCTAATGTGAAACTTTTATTAGCTTTAAACTAAATTAACAATAGACATAGTTTACAGAGTAAAATTTTATCCACACCTATACACACCTAAACAAGAAGTGCAACCCACAAATAGGTTCATAATAAACATAAGGGTTTTACATTCATTGATTGCAAAAACTATTCATTTTGATTATAATTCCTTGCATCATGTAGATTCAGTATAGTTTTAAATTAGTGGGCAATTTTATTACAAATAAAATCTGTTAACGGGAAGCAAAGTGGTCTGGGTGTTGTGCCACTGTCCCCTTAGTCCTGCATTGTAAATCATTGCCTTTTTTTTGAAACTACAATGATTACATTGCCAGGGAGGTAGGGACCAGAGGGAACTGTAGTGTTAGGGATACAACTTGTCAGTATGTGTAATGGGATTAATAATTAAAACTTTTAGTGTCTTTACTAGTGTTTATTTAGTTAATCAATGTTTGTATGTTTTCCTAATAGTATGGTTTCTCTTCACAGCTTGCTAGTGGAGCATTTGGTCACATCAAGGATACAGTTTTGTCTTCTTTAAACCGTGATCCTACTGTTGATATATCTCCAGACACTGTTGGGACACTCAGTCTAATAATGCTTGCTCAAGCCCAAGAGGTGTTTTTCTTAAAAGCTACAAGAGGTATTTATATCATGGAAAATGTATGTGCTGCTCTTTGGTTAGTATAGAATTTTATTTTCTCATGTCCTTCTTTTGTGGAAGAAAATTAAAAAAAATAAAAAATATATATATATATATTTTAGTGCAGTGTGCTAGATATAGCTTAGACATACAATAGCTATAAGCATAAACAAGTGTATAAGTATTTCTTAAAGGCACACTCCACTGCATAAATACAAAAACAACTGTTTAGTAGATATACACCAAATAAAAAATACATGCATTTTTAAAAATTGATTTATTGATTGATTTTATTTTGGGGTATATTTAAAGGGATACTATAGTCACCAAAACAACTTTAGCTTAATAAATCAGTTTTGGGGTATAGATCATGCCCCTGCAGTCTTACTGCTCAAATCTCTGCCATCTAGGAGTTAAATCACTTTGTTTATGCAGCCCTAGTCACACCTCCCTGCATATGACTAACACATCCTTCCTAACCACTTCTTGTAAAGCAGCTATGTCAAACTCGCGGCCCACAACTAATATTTATGCGGTGAGGGAGCACTGAGTGTAAGCTCTCCCTGCAGTAATGCAGGGAGCCGGAATATAATAGGGAGCTGAGCAGGGAGAGTTTACACTCTGCGCTCCTTCACTGCCTGCCCACCCACCCCCATGCCTGCCCAGCAGCCCCACTAGACCCCAGGTAAGAAACCAAGCCTGTATGTCTATCGTTGTGTGTGTGTGTGTGTGGCTGTGGTTGTGTGTGTGTGGCTGTGGTTGTGTGTGTGTGGCTGTGGTTGTGTGTGTGTGGCTGTGGTTGTGTGTGTGTGTGGCTGTGGTTGTGTGTGTGTGGCTGTGGTTGTCTGTGTTGTGTGTGTGTGTGGCTGTGGTTGTCTGTGTGGTTGTGTGTGTGTGTGTGTGTGTGTGCTGTGGTTGTGTGGTTGTGTGTGGTTGTGGTTGTGTGTGTGTGGCGTATGGCTGTGTGTGTGTGTGTGGCTATGGCTGTGTGTGTGTGTGTGGGCGCTATGGCTGTGTGTGTGTGTGGGGCTGTGTGTGTGGGGCTATGGCTGTGTGTGTGTGGCTATGGCTGTGTGTGTGTGTGGCTATGGCTGTGTGTGTGTGGCTATGGCTGTGTGTGTGTGGCTATGGCTGTGTGTGTGTGTGGCTATGGCGTGTGTGGGGCTATGGCTGTGTGTGTGTGGCTATGGCTGTGTGTGTGTGGCTATGGCTGTGGTGGCTGTGTGTGTGTGTGTGTGTGGTGTGTGGTGGTGGCTATGGCTGTGTGTGTGTGTGGTATGGTGTGTGTGTGGCTATGGCTGGCTGTGTGTGTGTGTGTGTGCGCTATGGCTGGCTGTGTGTGTTTTAAGGAGTAACGCGAGGATCCGCTTTTTAAAGGTGCGGATGGGGCCATTGAGGGTATGCCAGAGACTGGACTCCAGACATTGCTTAATGTTTTTTTTTTTTTTTTTTAAATAAACAGGGGCAGGGTTTAGTAGACGAGGGGGGGGGAGACCAAGGGTTTAGAAGAGGGGGTGAAAATTTACGTTTTTTTTTTTTGTTTGTTTTTCAGCCCACATAAACTTAAACCTTGTTTATTTGGCCCTTACTAGTTTTTGAGTTTGACATGCTTGTTGTAAAGTGACATCTGTTTACTACACTTTTATTATCTCCTGCACTGTTAATAGCTTGCTAGACCTTGCAGGAGCTGATTGGACAGCAACAAAAAGTATGGGGCATTATCGATACACAAAGACTGCTTCAGTAAGCTAAAGTTGTTTTGGTGGCTATAGGGTCCCTTTAAAATCAGCGTGCTAACGCTGCAGATTGCATAAAGCCTTTGCAAGTCCTCTGTTTTTTCCCCAGCCTATACTTTTTGTTGCTGTCCAATCATAGTCTTCCCAATGCAGCTCTGACATATCTTTGCAAGGCAGATCCCCCTGTGCAATTGCAGCCTGTTGAATTTAGCTCTTCTGAGCTAAACAACCAGGAAGTAGCAGAACCACTTCTGATTCAGTGTTTAAAATGTAAAGTCTGATGGTACTAGCCTTGGCAAAGCTCCTTGCCATAGCATACTCGCCAAGGGCTGTAACAATGTTATTTTATAAAATTGCTTATTTCTATTTAAATGGGGGAAAAACAGAGGGTGCACTGTTGACAAATACAGCACTTCTGCAAGCTAAAATGCTTTATGATTTTGAATTGTTCTTTTTATGTAATCTGATTTTTATAGTTGGTTTTTGAGACTTTATTTATTTTTAAGCAAGTTGTTTTGGGTAACAGAATATCCCTTTCCTTTTGGCACAAGTGTATGGTCAGTGAGGCCATGGATTGACTGCTTGGGACATTTTGAATTATCAATGGATAGATCAAGAAAAAATGCATGATATGATACCTACATGTTCACCAAAAGTGTGAAACTAATCGCTTTTTATTTGTTTTTCTTTACTTACTTTTGTTCATGCGTATTAAACATGGGAATTGTGATGTACACTATTTGTGCAACTCTATATGTCAGCCTGTTCATCCAAGTTATTGTTAATTTAGTAACACAAATTACACAAACACTTGATTATTTCTACTACAGATAAAATGAAAGATGCTTTGATTGCCAAATTGGCTAACCAAGCTGCTGATTACTATGGGGATGCTTTTAAACAGTGTCAGAACAAGGATACATTACCAAAGGTCAGTATGACTAATGTTCCTTTTTAAGAATTTTTTTTTTTTTTTTTTAATATATTCTTTATTTACACAATGCAAAAGTCGTAATTTACATAATAAACTAATACAGTGAATGAAAAACAAAATGCAATCTTCACAGTGAAACTATATTGTCAACTCAAGTCAAGGATTCAGGGATATTGCATGGTTCATAACAATATATCACTCTCGTTTGAAGCCTCCCTAGCTATGAGCATATTGACAAGCTGTAAAAAGGGAAATTCCACTTTAGGGAATACTCGTTAGATGTAGAGCAGTGTGCAAAGAGCGAAAGAGATAAAATCCCCTGAACTGGAATGATAAAGACAACAAACATCAACTAGCATAGTAATGGCAGTGGAGACCAGGAAGGTTTGTGGAGAAAAGCCAAAAGGAAATTGTGATAAAGTATGTGGACGGGAAAATGGGTAACATGTGTAATAACTGTCTGAAAGGTTTGTGATTTTAGTGAAAACATGATTAAAAATAGTTTTATAGAAATTGTAGACATAGTTCACTAGTTAATTTCTTTAATTTCTTTAATCCTGACACGCTGGAGCTTTTTTTTTTTTTTTTTTAAGTGAGAACATTCACTTTTTTATTTTCATTTATCATAAAGATTAATTATATTTTAAAATATTTACCTTTTCTCCAGAGCTGTTGATGCTGCCATGATCTTGAGTTTTTATGTATTACAGTATTGTCACATTATTGCCTCCTGCTTCTACACAATTGAGCATGCTGCGTGAAAAGCATTTAGTGGGGCGTTACTGGTAATTGATCAGTGAAAGCTAGGCGTGCAGTACATGACTTGAAACATCTTACTTTTGTTAATTGAGAACTCAAGTCTGCTTATTTGAAGAATAAAAACAAATTCAAGATCATAAAACACATATTAAAAGTGTTGGGGTTTTTTTATACATAAGGAATATACAACAACATATGGGAATGTCTAACATAATGACAAACAGATAATATAAATTTATATAAAACCAAGAGGTACCAAACAACTGTGGGGTTTTTTTTTTTTTTTTTTTTTTTTTTACCTATAGTACAGTGCTGTAGAATGTGTTCATGTTTTTATAATGTGTTCATGCTGAGGGGGGTGGAAGGGGTTAATCGCTTACCTCTTTTCCAGCGCTGGGGACTCTCCTCCCTCTTCTTCCGTCATCGGCTGAATGCGCATGCGCGGCAAGAGCCACGCGCGCATTCAGCCAGTCCATAGGAAAGCTTTCTTAATGCTTTCCTATGGACGCTGGCGTCTTCTCACTGTGGAAGTCACAGTGAGAAGCGCGGAAGCGCCTCTAGCGGCTGTCAATCAGACAGCCACTAGAGGCTGGATTAATCCTATTGCAAACACAGCAATTTCTCTAAAACTGCTATGTTTACAGCAAAAAGGGTTAAACCTAGATGGACCTGGCACCCAGACCACTTCATTAAACTGGTCTGGGTGCCTATAGTGGTCCTTTAAATATTTCAAAAAGTGTATATATAAAATAGCAGAGTCATAGAGTAGTAAATAAACCCCTTTTTTCGCTTAATATAGGGTTTCCCCATTAACTATATAATGAAGAGGCAGACATGTAAACTAAACAAGTATACAGATGTGTATACTTAAACACTATATGCCAATTGTCTTTATGCCCATCCTGTATATTTTATTCTTATTTGTGGAATGCTATAAAAGATTCAGTTCTGACGTTCTTGCTGTGAAATAGCTTTAGGTGATTAGACAATTTTAAAATTATTTAAAATAAATAATGACAAACAGGTTGAACTACTTGGCTTTTAAATGGTTTGATATTCACCTTGTAAATCCTCTGCTTTTAAATCACAAGCCTTGTCTTGGTCATTTTATGCTTTTATATTTCTTGGTCTTCTTGGTGCATGCTCTCTTTTATTAGTAGTCTCTTGGGAATACTAATTGGATTGAATTAAATGAGTGAAAAATTAACATCCTTCTGTACGTTGCTTATTTTCAATGCCTTTGATAATTTCTTCACATTTAATTCAACCTTTTTCTAATGGTTTAACCTATCTAAGTGGTTGGTGCACGGTCCTAATCTACTTTCTTCCCCCTTTATCTTTCTTGACCTCCCTTGTGTCTGTGGCTGTTTTTGTGTGGTTGGACTCTCCCCTGGTCAGTATTTCTATTTCCAGGAGGTGATCCCTGTGCTGGCTGCCAAACACTGCATAATGCAAGCCCATGCTGAATATCACCAGTCAGTCCTGGCAAAGCAGCAAAAGAAATTTGGTGAAGAAATTGGGAGGTTACAGGCAAGTATTTTAAATGTTTGTTTTTCCTTGTAAAGTGCTCCCATGTTTAAGATTGTGTGATTTCCAGTTGACTGAAAATTTCATAACCCCTTGTAAATTGTGTGAACTATTTATTTATTTTTCCCTAAAGTAATTTTAGTGGTTTTCTTTCCAAGAATAAATTAATTACTCACTCAAATAACGGAATATTTAAAATTTAGGTCCACATGCCACAGGGAGAAATAGTTTTGAAAGTTTGAAGGCATATCCAATTTTCCCACAAATAGGTAGGGGAAAAAAATTATCTTTGATTCCAAAATGGCCATCAGATATCTCCTTGTGTAGTGCTAGAGATTGCGTATCCATGGCAAGATTTATTGATTACACAGAAACACGTGTGGTTGGTTTTAGGGCAGGAATTTTATTACCAAAGGGTTAGCAGGATTAACAGAAATAGCATCTGTTGCAACAAAGCGGTTTGTCCCATCAATCCTGGAAAATCATGCAATATGGAAAATGCATAAAGGCAAAGTATGTATTAAGATAAGGATTCAGAAGATATTCCTAAACCACTTCAGTCAGGCTCTCTACGCATTGTGCATGGTTTCTTTTTCTCTCTCTTGAGAAGAGATCATGATGTACCATGACCACTACATCGTGTTTTAATAGCTATGGTTCTTTGAGTGTGTCTTTAAGTTTAGATCTTTGAGCTAGAGCTGCAACCAAAATTTGTGGCATAAAGGGCAATTATTATTATTTTTGTTATTTATATAGTGCCATCAAATTCCACAGCGCTTTACAGTTGGTGGATGAAAAGACATGAAGTTGTGATCAGACAAGTTGGACATACAGGGACAGGGGGGTTGAGGGCCCTGCACAATGAGCTTACATACTAGAGGGAGTGGGGTAAAGTGACACAAAAGGTAAGGATAGTATTAGAATAATGGCAGTTTGCAAGAGAGGAATCAGTCGGGAGCTATTACAGTTTAATTGATACACTTTTATGAAGAAGTGGGTTTTTAGTGATTTTTTTTTTTTGAAGGAGTGGAGACTGGGTGAGCATCTAACAGAGTAGGGAAGTGAGTTCCACAGGAACGGTGCAGCCCTGGAGAAGTCTTGAAGGCGAGCATCAGAGGTGGGAGGACGGACAGAAGATAGACGCAAGTCTTCAGCAGAGCGTAAGGGCCTAGACGGGGGGCATACTTGTGTATTAGTGAGGATAGATAGGTGGTAGCAGCAATCTATCTGAACAAGTGGACAGCCTACCCAATGTCTACAAAAACTACAGTTTGTCAGACACACTCCTAGGAGAAAAAAAAAATATAAAAAGCTTTGATAGTTCTAGGTATCCCAGTTGTTTCCCAAGTCACTCTGAACCCAAAATAGCAAGTGACACCAGGTACTGCTTCTTCCAATATAGCATATGATACCGCACTCAATAATTTTTAAAATAAGTAATTACTCTATTTAATAAATAATTAATTTTGCAAGTGTAGTTATATTTAATTTAATATATGCAAAAAAGTGAGAAGATACTACAAGAATAAGTTTTCTGGAGATGATATATCCTATGACAACCAACGATACTCCATGCATGTATAAATAAACCCCTACAAAGTCCGACTTACTATGTAGTGATAGTGCTAAACTGCACTTATATATTTGAGAGCCCAGATTGCTATCTGGAAGATTTCTTGAAAAAGGAAGTACAAAAAATAAAAATTGAAAAAAATTATAGAAAATAATGAAAAATAGAAAAATCGAAGGGGCTATCAAGGTCCCGAGCGCGCAGCCCAGCACCTCAAGACATTTGAGATACTCCCAGCACTTTACCGATACTGGAGAGACCTTATATGCATCCAGGGAGAAGTAGCAGGACTACCAGTATATCTTGTACTGTGAACAGCTCATTGTACCATCAATTGTATATATTACAGCTTTGTCTGCAACAGGACCTGCCTCTACAGAAATATTGGTGACATCCACCCAAACATCATAGTGTGTACACACTGGGACTGTATATACATTATTTTTTTTCATTATTTTCTATAATTTTTTTTCAATTTTTATTTTTTGTACTTCCTTTTTCAAGAAATCTTCCAGATACCAATCTGGGCTCTCAAATATATAAGTGCAGTTTAGCACTATCACTACTAAGTAAGTCGGACTTTGTAGGGATTTATTTATACATGCATGGAGTATCGTTGGTTGTCATAGGATATATCATCTCCAGAAAACTTATTGTTGTAGTATCTTCTCACTTTTTTGCATATGTTAAATCAAATATAACTACACTTGCAAAATTAATTATTTATTAAATAGAGTAATTACTTATATTAAAAATTGAGTGCAGTATCATATGTTATGTTTGTTTTGAGGTAAAAGGGCTACCTTGATACCTTGCACCGATACGGATAAAAGAGTGCCTGTACATATAATTGTACTGCTTCTTCCAATGCAGATCACAGAAGCACTTTAGCTCTATCCTGAAAAGTAAGAAGATAGTCCCATTGTCATGCCCTTGGGCCACAGCAATTATTTAATTTCAAGAAACAAAGTACCTGGGCACAAAAAAACCTAATTTGCCATCCATAGTGCTGTGAACTTCCAATACAAACCAACAGAATAACTCCCAACACAAAACTATATTACTTTAAAATTTCTTCCAAAAAAAGAGCAATCAAAGAAGTATCCCGAAGCAAAATAACTTGGACGAGTAACTCCCAAGATGCATAACTAAACATTACAATCCACAGAAACCACTTAAAATAACACTCCAGGCACATTAACAATTGCAGCTCAATAAGGCTGTGATGGAATTTTTGGGCACCATCTTACCTTAAGGGATTAATCGATCTATAAAAGCATGCATCCCCCAGGGTTTTGTGTCTCCATCTTCTGCCCTACCTTCAATGCTGAAGCCTTGTATTTGACATTGCTTATAGTCTGAGTGCATAAATTGACATTCTCAGCCCAACACCGGTCTTCAATTGAGAAATATGCTTTAGAATAGAAACAACGCCCTGTCCAAAGCTTATGTGTTGAAATTGGGATCAGAAGAGGAGACAAAAGGGACCTGGAGGATGGGCTTTGTCTGGCGTCCCGACCCTACAGACACCATAGCTTAATTAAGATTACATTTTTATGGTCCCCGGACGGTTCCTTTTAAAATATTTAGCAATCCTAGCTGGAAATGTTTAATTTATCATTTACCGCACTGCTCATTCTGCACTCTGGTCCTTCAAGATCTAATATGGATAGTACCCTGGAAGAAGTCGGATCTCAGTACAGCTCCACTAGTAACAGGTGTGCAAAATCTGGTAAAATAAATTAATCAAAGACTCCAAACAGTAGTATTCTGTATCTGTTCACAAACACTATGGCTTTCCTTTAAATCACTAAGGAGAAAAAGAACAATTGTCACATAAGTGATTTTCCAAACTTGTCTATTTTGGCTTACAGCTTAATTTGCTTACAGATTACCATTAATCACTTGTTAGTTAGTGAACCCTTACATGTTTTAGATAAACTACTATAACTGATAAAGTCAATAAAAATGGTTCATATTGGAAATTTGTTGTTGGAAGATAAGCTAGAAGCTATCCATGTATAATCATAGTTATTCTGTATATAATCACAGTATTACCTCATAGGTAGTAACCAGTGGTAAATTAAACCGGGCATTATTTAATGTAATCCAGCAAAAATATGTTTAAAACATCAGAAAAGTGATTTTAGATTTTTTATTTAACCCCTTAAGGACTGAGCCAAATGTACACGTTGTGAACGAAACAAAATGTAAACAAAACCTGGCATTTGCGCTACACATCTGTCCAACTGTAATTCACCTCTTTCATATTAAATGCACCCACCCTTATTATATATCATTTTATTCAGGGGAAACAGGTCTTTCATTTAATATCAAATATTTAGTTATGAAACATAATTTAATATGAAAAAAATGGGAGAAAATAAGATTTTTTTAGTTTTGTTTTGTTTTTTAGTTTTACATGACATTTTAACTGTCAATGTCATAATAGTGTTTGCTTTTACTGCAATAAAATACACATATTTGTATTCAGCAAAGTCTCACGTGTAAAACAGTACCCCCTATGTACAGGTTTTATGGCGTTTTGGGAAGTTACAGGGTCAAATATAGCACGTTACATTTGAAATTGAAATTCGCCAGATTGGTTACGTTGCCTTTGGGACTTTATAGTAGCCCAGGAATGAAATTTACACCCATAATGGCATACCATTTGCAATAGTAGACAACCCAAGGTATTGCAAATGGGGTATGTCCAGTCTTTTTTTAGTAGCCATTTGGTCACAAACACTGGCCAAAGTTAGCGTTAGTATTTGTTTGATATATATATTTCGTTCTACGTGTATTTTGATATAAATATAGATATTGATATCACAATACAGTTAGAACGAAATAAAACACATCTTTATATTTTTTAATAATTTTTTAAAATTATTTTGAAAATTTTATTTAACGTATTTACATATTTCATTTCTTTTATTATATATAAATATATATATATAACAATTATATATTTAATCAATATCAGTCTACGTGTAATTTGATATTAATATATAAATATATATATTAATAGTAAATACACCTAGACAGTGTATTTGTGTGTGTGTGTATATATATGTATGTGTGTGTGTATATAATGTGTATATATATATGTGTGTGTGTATATATATATATATATATATATATATATGATGTAAGTATAGATTTTTTTTTTGATTTTTTTTTTTTTACTTTTTACACTTTTTAACTTTAATTTTATTTTATTTCCAGCCAGCAGGGGGACTACCTGTCATTACAGGCAGCCCCCCTGCTGACAATGCAGCAGCCAGCTATCCCGGCCATGTGATTGTGAGGTCCTCACAAAGGACTTCACTCTCACATGGCCTGGGGGGCTGCCAGAAGGAAGATCTGCTGCGAGGGGGCTCCCTGGGAGTCCCCCCAACCGTGATCGCCGGTGTGTGATCGCCGGCGACCGGGTAAGTAATGAAAGACCGGAGGGCGTACTATTATGCCCGGTGGCGTTTAGAGACGCCTAAAATAGGGCTTAATAGTACGCCCTCTGGTCTGAAGGGGTTAAAGGGACTCTATAGTCACCAGAAGAACTACAGCTTATTGAATTTGTTCTGGTGAGTGGAATCATTACCTTCAGGCTTTTTGATGTGAACACTGTCTTTTCAGAGAAAATCCAGTGTTTACATTGCAGCCTAGTGATAACTTCACTGGCCGCTCCTCAGATGGCTGTTAGAGATCCTTCCTGGGTCGTGGCTGCATAAAATGCATCCAAACATTCAGTGTCTCCTCCCTCTGCATGCAGACACTGAACTTTTCTCATAGAGATTCACTGATTCAATTAATCTCTATGATGAGATTCTGATTGGCCAGGGCTGTGTTTGAATTGTGCTGGCTCTGCCTCTGATCTGCCTCCTTGTCAGTCTCAGCCAATCCTATGGAGAAGCATTGTGATTTGCTCAACCACCACTTCTGATGATGTCAGAGGAAGTTCACAGGCAGAGGCTGCAGCTTCAGACTTGAATACAATTAAAATTTTACTATCCAAGGGGGCTAGATAGTAGTTTTAACACTATAGGGTCAGGGATACATGTTTGTGTTCCTGACCCTATAGTGCTCCTTTAAAGAATGTGTTTGTGGATTCCATTGCACTTTTGTACACCTCCCACCACCAATTGCTGTAATACTCCTTTATAAAGAATGTGTATTTAATCTTGCCATGAAAGAAACACCATTACCTCTCTGAAACTCATTGTAGTGGTTATAGTACTATGATTCATTGAGGCACTGTTCTCAGGGGCGTTTTAGCCGCGAGGCAAGGCATTTGCCTTGGGCATTTTTCAGGGGGCGGCAAAAAACGCCGCCCCCCCCCCCAGGGCAGATGCTTTGTTAGCCTCGGCGGCTAACTGACTGCTGGCTCCCTGGGCTGGCGGGCGGCGCTGGGCTCAAGTAATGAAGACCGCAGGGCGACTATTATCCGGTGCGTTTAGAGCGCCGCAAAATGAGGCTTAATCTACGCCCTCGGTCTGAAGGGGTTAAAGGGCTCTCCCTCACTTGAAGCCTACAGCTTATTGAATTTGCCTGGTGAGTGGAACATTACCTTCAGGCTTTTTGAACCCTGACTGTCTTTTCAACTCCCAGCAGTGTTTACATTGCAGGTAGTGAATAACTTACTGGCCGCTCCTAAGATGGTGTTAGAGAAGGGTGTGGTGTGTAAAATGCTGTCAAACATCTGTGTTCCTGTGTGTGTGAGTGTGTGAATGTGTGTGTCTGACTGTCAGTGAGTGTGTGTTTGCCTGTGAGTGTGTGTGTGTGTGTGTCAGTGAGTGTCTGTTAATGTGTGTGTCTGCTAGTGAGTGTCAGTGAGTGTGTGTGTGTCTGCAAGTGAGTGTGTGTGTCAGTTAATGTGTGTTTGTTAGTGTGTGTGAGTTTGTGTGTGTGTCTGCTAGTGAGTGTGTGTCTGTTAGTGAGTGTGTGTCTGTTAGTGAGTGTGTGTCTGTTAGTGTGTGTGTCTGACTGTCTGTTAGTGTGTATGTGTGTGTCTGACTGTGTGTCAGTGAGTGTGTCTGACTGTGTGTGTGTGTGTCTTTTAGTGTGAGTTTGTGTGTCAGTGAGTGTGTGTCTGTGTGTGTGTGTGTTTCTGTTAGCGAGTGTATGCGGATCTGTCGGTGAATGTGTGTGTGTGTATTTAGAAGGCGGGGCGGGGCGGGGGGAAGGGTTGGGGGGACTGGGGGGGGGGGCGCCTGAGTTTTGTCCTGCCTAGGGCAGCACAAAACCAGGATACACCACTGACTGTTCTACTAACCTATCTTGGAGTGATTTGGCATAAACCAGGGTTCTCCCTTGCTTGTTATCCCAATCCCAACACTCTTAGCCTGTCTTTGCTGTCTAATGTGGACAGATTTACATTTGTTAAAGAGTGAAGTGTAATCTGTACATTATCAGTATGGATGTGGAGAGAGGAACTGGCAGTTGGTGCTGGGGAGAACCACCATATGTATTAAATCTCTCAGATGGTTTGACAAAACAGAGGGGCAGTGCACTGAAGCTTATGGTGATTTGAGTGTTCCTTAATTAGAATTATTTTTTTTAAATAATATATATCAAACATTTCAACAAGGGCACTCCAGCACCATAACTCCCTATTATGAGGGTTACAGTGCAATAAATCTTTGAGTGCTGTTCTTTCACACTCACTCTTCTACTGCAATCCAATTTGTTTGGTGGAGTATAGTCTCACTTCCGCATTATCATTTCAAAACCAAAGTCTCTCTCCTTACATAACCATACCAAGAAGCTGTAGTTGTGGGGCTAAAGTGTCATGTTACGCTTGTAATGACATTAAAATATATATATATTTTTTTTTTCTCCCCAATTCTTTTGTAGCATGCCTCTGATTTGGTGAAGACCGTAGCTTCCCGCTATGATGAGTATGTTAATGTAAAAGACTTGGCTGATAAAGTCAGTCGTGCACTTACAGCTGCCAAGAAGGACAATGATTTCATTTATCATGATAAAGTTCCAGATTTGAAAGAACTTGAAGCAATTGGAAAAGCTTCTATTGTGAAACCATCACCTGTTGTGATTCCTCTCAGCCAGAAATACAGTGGTGGGCCTTTTGTGATTTACTTGTATGCTCTATATATTGTTGTTGTAATACTTAATATGGAGTTTGTAATAATGGTAATGGTAATATGTGCACAATGCAGTTTTTCTTTCCCTCTCCTCTTCTTCCTTTCACTGCTTTTCTCTTTAAAGGGAGGGGGGAAATTTAAGTTTTTTTTTTGCAATTCTTTTACCTCTGATGGTCCATAGGGAAGGACACTTGCATTTGTCAATAGCTGATTATCACTCAAAGTGCCTAAGGACTAAAAAGAAATAAATACTTACCTCTGTATCTCAGGCAATCCAATGTTTTCCTATAGGAAAGCATTGGGAGATTAGTGTGCATGTGCGTAAGTTCATCGAGCAGCACCAATTATATGGTCTCTATTAAACCATCTGTTTGAAATGGTGTTTTACACTGCTTTTTTGTCGGAAGGACCTCTAGTGGCTGTCATTGTGACAGCTGCTAGCCACATGTTAACCATGGAATGTAAACATTGCCGTTCCTACGGAAAACATGCTTGATATGTTTGATTCTTGATTGTACTTGGAGTTGGAATCCCTGTGAATACAAATTATAGAAGTACATACTTAAAACTTGCTTGAAATCTGAATGGAGACCTACAGAAAGTCAAGAAATTTGAATTGTCTGCCGTGTTATCTTCAAATCTGTTTGTTTAGGGTTGTGAAACTATGCTTGAAATCTCTTGTGTTCAAGTGCCACCCTGGCAGGATCAGCTCAGTTGCTCCATTGTGTTCTGTGCAGTGGAGTACATTCTGGGGTCGCAGGGGTCACGGCTGCGACCGGGCCCGGCCCACCAGGGTGCCCGGCCGCCCTGCGACCCGGTATTCACGCCAGTGGCAGTGTGGCCACATTTTGCCAGCCTCTTCTCCTGGGGGGCCCAGGAGCTGACCACCTCAGGGCCCGCTGAGGCTGGCAGTGGCTTCAGTTTGCCGGCGGGCTGCTGGGCACGGGCACGCGAGGAAGGGAGCACTCCATAATAGCACAAGAGAGATTAAAATCTCCCAAATGCCCCTACTCACTATACCGCGAGTAGAGGCATGTCTACTAAACAGTGAGCAGCCTGTGGCTGCTCCCTGTTGAAAAAAAAAAGACATGCGGCGGGTGGGGGCCATGAAGATAATGAGGGGGGGGGACCTACTGTCCTCCCCCCCCCGGCCCCCACCCCTGAGCGGTGGGTGGGGGCCCTAATAAAACTATAAGGGGGGGGAACCTACTGTCCTCCCCCCCTGGCCCCCACCCCTGAGCGGTGGGTGGGGGCCCTAATAAAACCATAAGGGGGGGGACCTACCTCCCCCCTCCCCCACCCCTGAGCGGTGGGTGGGGGCCCTAAATAAAAATGGGGGGGGACCTGTCCCCCCCCCCTGGCCCCCACCCCTGCGCGGTGGGTGGGGGCCCTAATAAAACCATAAGGGGGGGGACCTACTGTCCTCCCCCCGGCCCCCACCCCTGAGCGGTGGGTGGGGGCCCTAAATAAAGATATGGGGGGAACTTCTGTCCCCCCCGGCCCCCACCCCTGCGCGGTGGGTGGGGGCCCTAATAAAACAATAAGGGGGGGGGGACCCTACTGTCCTCCCCCCCTGGCCCCCACCCCTGCGCGGTGGGTGGGGGCCCCAATAAAACAATAAGGGGGGGGGCCTACTGTCCTCCCCCCCCCGGCCCCCACCCCTGAGCGGTGGGTCGGGGCCCTAAATAAAGATATGGGGGGAACTTCTGTTCCCGCCCCCACCCCTGCGCGGTGGGTGGGGGCCCTTATAAAACAGTAAGGGGGGGGGACCTACTTCCTCCCCCCCTAGCCCCCACCCGTGCGCGGTGGGTGGGGGCCCTAATAAAACCATAAAGGGGGGGACCTACTGTCCTCCCCCCCTGGCCCCCACCCCTGAGCGGTGTGTGGGGGCCCTAATAAAACCATAAGGGGGGGGGACCTACTGTCCTCCCCCCCGGCCCCCACCCCTGAGCCAGCAGCACAGCGCGCTCCGCGGTACAGGAACTTCAATTTCAGGTTCCGGTTTCTGGCGGGACTGAAAGGAAGTGCACACTTCCTTTCAGTCCCGCCGGAAACCGGAACCTGAAATTGAAGTTCCTGTACCGCGGAGCGCGCTGTGAAGCCGGCCCACGCTACAAGACAGGTAAGTAATTATGTGACAATGGGAGGGGGGGGGACACTATGGGATGAGAACACCATTGGACAAGGGGAGGAGGTGTTAACAATCACTATGGGACAGAGGAAAGGGGGGGTTTAAAGATAACTATGGGACAAGGGAGGGGGGTTAAAGATCATTATGGGACAGGAGAGGGGAGTGGGTGGTAAGGAACAAAAAATTGCTTAAAAAAAAATATTCTGAACAAACTGTCCCATAGTAAGAAACACCATGGAACAGTTCAGAATATTTTTTTTTTTTTCTGGGTTTCCTCCTCTAAAAACTAGGTGCGTCTTATGGAACGAAAAATACAGTACTTTTGAATAGGTTGGCATGTCATACAGATTCAGCAAGACATGTTTAAACTTACAGGAATGGGATGATGACTTTGCTCAAATAAGCTGAACAGAGGCAAAAATACATGAAAAATAATGGTAAAATACATTCTTTTCATAGTTAAAATGAATTGTTTGGTTTTACACCTATGCACTTCTATAAACATTATGTACATTGAATAGTGGTGTAGAAGAAGTTGATAACTGTGACAACAAAGGAAACCTACAATTGGTTTGTTCTATGCCTTCTGAAGAAGTGGGTTTAACTTTGTAGTAGATTTCTTGAAGGTGTGCAGAGTGGTAGTTAAATGGTACAAATTAAGTTCATAAGAATGTTATGATCTAAGAGGTGACAAGTGGGAGTGTGCATAGAGAACAGGTGTAAATCTTCAAAAGAGCGGAGGTGTTAGGAAGGGGACGTAATTATTTACTTTTTCTTCCCTGATATTTCAGTTTTCTTTGTCCCCCTTAAATATATTTTTAAATCCATTTTGCCCTTCTTGTTTTGTGTTACAGATCTGTTTGAGAAAATGGTGCCTTTAGCAGTGCAGCAGTCTTTGAGTGCCTACAATCAGCGAAAAGCTGAGCTTATTAATGCAACAATTGTTCAAATGAGAGATGCCACAACCTTATCTAATGGGTGAGTACTGAAATAATTACAAAACCTACTTTACTACCAATTTTAAAGTGTTACATAATAAAAACAAACTTTACTACCATATTTTTTTGTAACATTTAGCCACACAAGAGAATATTCCTGTAGACACTTTCCTCTTTTTTTCTTTTTTTTTTTTTTTTAATATAGGGTACTTGCTTCTTTAAATCTTCCTGCTGCAATTGAGGATGTGTCTGGTGACAGCATACCACAATCAATTCTACAGAAGTCAAAGGCAGTTATTGAACAGGGTGGTATTCAGACAATTGACCAGCTAATAAAAGACCTTCCTGAATTGCTTCAAAGAAACAAGGAAATTCTTGAGGAGGTAAGCTAAAAAAAATCCTAAAGCTGCTCTTCATTTTTGTGAAAAACAAACAAAAGCCAATTTCACTCCTCTGCAAAGCGAAGTGAAAACTTTTTGCTCTCTAAGCCTAAAATGAGTTGCCCTCTAGTGCTTGGCTCTTTTTATACAGAGTACTCACAGGAAGGTCTTGTTTTTCCCCTCTTTCTGCATATTGTGTAAAAATACAGAACAAAAGAGGCAAATACTGACCTGAACCAAGATGTTGCATATTATTTGACTCTGATACCAAATATGCAGCATGTATCATTATAGCCACATACATATCTATTCTGATCGAACATTTAGTCTGTTTTGGAATCTGCCTACCTACCATATACTGCAGGTTGCTTTCAAATTTATATACGAAAAGTACTGAAGCCTTTTTATTTTCTAAACCTGGCTTATGTTCCAAAATAGAGATTATTTTGGGTACTTTGAATGACCAATGCTTTATTGAACCAAAATGAACATATCTTCGTTGCACATAATTGTGTATTTTCTTTTTTTGTCTGGAAACGCAAAGAAAATGCACACATTGCCATTCAATTGTACATACATAGTTTTGATAAATGACAGCAAAGATTTTGCATTTCATTTTATGACTCTGTAATAAAAAATGCATAATAAAACTTTGTAGATCTGTATAAATCTCTAATTCGTTTTATGTGTCTTTATTTGTGTCCTCAAGTCCCTAAAGTTTTTGGATGAAGAGGAAACTACTGACAATGAATTAAAGTCAAAGTTTAAAGAACGTTGGCAGAGAACTCCATCCACTGAACTTTATAAACCTTTGAGAACTGGTAAGAAAATTGTAATGATGGCAATGATAAAAATCCTCATCTCTTATTTCGTGGATGTAACAATACCCTATACATGTGCGTTTTTACTTTGTAAGGCTAAACTTAGGTCATACACTTCAGAGTATCAAATTACATATATCAATATTGCTCAAGTGTAGAAATATCAGCATAAACAGTACAACAATGTACACCTCGTACCTCTAAATTATATGTGTGGTTCACTGTGTATTTGTGTACGTGCGTGTATGTACACTGAACAAAATTGTAAATGCAACATTTTTGTTTTTGCACCCATTTTTCATGAGCTAAACTCAAAGATCTAAAACTTTTTCTAAGTATATAAAAAGCCTGTGTCTCTCAAATATTGTTCACTAATCTGTCTAAATCTGTGTTAGTGAGCACTTCTCCTTTGCCGAGATAATTTTAGAGTGCCCTTTTATTGTGGCCAGCCTAAGGCACACCTTTGCAATAATCATGCTGTCTAATCAGCATCTTGATATGCCACACCTGTGAGGTGGATGGATTATCTCGGCAAAGAATTTAGACAGATTTGTGAACAATATTTTGAGATAAATAAGCCTTGGATCTTTGAGTTCAGCTTGTGAAAAATGGGGGCAAAAACAAGTGTTGTGTTTATAATTTTGTTCAGTGTATGTATGTATAGATCTATGCATATGGGGAAACAGGGGAAAAAAAGGAGCATGTAAATGGTTGTGCAACGTCACTTTGAAGAGTTGTGACTGCCCTTGTCTCTCCCTCTCAATGCCCTGGTGACCCTCTGTTGTAAGGAGGTTTTGAATTTTTTTTACCTGAGGTCCACTGGGCACTGCTTCACTTGTATTACTGGCCTTAGTTCAGATGAGCTAACACTGCTTAGGAACTTCTTGCTCTCCAGCAGTGCTAGTGGAGTTTGAGTGTAGTGATAGGTGGACCCCAGGTAAGTAGTCAATCTGTTCAAAAATGGTGTTGCTTTTTACAGTCGGCAGCGCTAGCGCCTCTGTATTGTTTGTTTATTTTTTTATTTTCTCTTTGCAGTGGAATTCTGGGTATGAACTATGGAACTTCCGGTTCTGATTTGTTGCTGGTATCAGTTATGGCCAACTCCACTAGCGGGGAAAAAAAAACAGTCTGGAAAATAATATATATTAACTCCTTAAAGGACCACTATAGTGCCAGGAAAACTATAGTGCCCTGAGGGTATTCAGCGCGCGCATTCAGTCAGTCCATAGGGAAGCCTTCTTAATGCTTTCCTATGGACGCTGGCGTCTTCTCACTGTGAAAATCAGTGAGAAGCGCGGAAGCACCTCTAGCGGCTGTCAATGAGACAGCCACTAGAGGCTGGATTAACCCATAGGTAAACCGATCACGATTGGGGGACTTGCCTGGCATCCCAGGGAGTGCCCCTGCTGCTGATTCGGCCCTCCTTGTGAGGACCTCACGATCACATGGACAGAATAGCCATTCATAGCTGTGCCAGCATGGGGAGTGCCTGGAATGACAGGTAGTTCCCCCCTGCTGCCTGAAATAAATTAAAATAAAGTTAAAACACAGTGTAAACAAAAAAACTATATATACTTAGATCTCATATTATTTATTTACACACACACACTTACACATACACGAAGTGTCTTTTAATATATATATATATTAATTTCAAAATACACATAGAATGATCTTAAATATATATTATATATAAATACTTTAAAAATGAAAAAGAAAGAATTAAAAAAATATATATGTAATTTCATTCTAACTGTATTTTGATATTAATATATATTATCAAAATACACTTGGAATGAAATGATATATCTATATACATAAATATATGTATATATCACTATATAGATATACACCTATATAAAATAATTTCAAAAAATTATATATATTTTAATTCTACGTATATATATTTATGTAATATTTTTACATAATTAAGTCATTTTATTAATTACAATTTGCGGGACCTGCCTGATAACCCAGGCAAAAAGTCCAGAGAATTTAATTTGCTAGCACTATAATTAACCCTGTAACTTTCCAAGATACCATAAAACCTGTACATGGGGGGGTACTGTTTTACTCGGGAGACTTCACTGAACACAAATATTACTGTTTCAAAAAAGTAAAAAGTATTACAACAATGAAATCAGTGAAAGTGACGTTTTTGTATTTTTCACACACAAGCAGCACTTACACTGACGATATAATAGTTTTGATACGTTTTACGGTTTTGAAACACTAATATTTGTGTTATAACCGTACCCCTCATGTACAGGATTTATGATGTTTTCAAAAGTTAGAGTCCAATATAAGGCTTGTGTTTCAGTTTTTTCACATTGAAATTCGCCAGAATGGTTACGTTGCCTTTGAAACTGTATGGTAGCCCAGGAATGAGAATTGCCCCCATGGTGGCATACCATTTGCAATAGTAGACAACCCAAGGTATTGCAAATGGGATATGTCCAGTTTTTTTTAGTAGCCACTTAGTCACAAACACTGGCCAAAGTTTGGCCAATTTTGGCCAGTGTTTGTGACCAAGTGGCTACTAAAAAAGACTGGACGTACCCCATTTGCAATACCTTGGGTTGTCTACTATTGCAAATGGTATGCCATCATGGGGGTAATTCTCATTCCTGGTCTACCATACGCTCTCAAATGCAACTTAACCAATCTGCCAAATTTCAGTTTGAAAAAAACTGAAAAATGTAACATGCTATATTTGACCCTGTAACTTCCCAAAACATCATAAAACCTGTACATAGGGGGTACTTTTTTACATGTGAGACATCGCTGAATACATATGTGTATTTTATTGCAATAAAAGCAAACAGTATTATGACATTCACAGGTAAAATGCCATGCAGAACTAAAAAAATAACATTTCTTAATATCTCACATTTTTAAAATATTTTATTCATATTAAGTTATGTTTCATAGCTAAATATTTGATGTTAAATAAAAGCTTAATTTCTCCTGAATAAAATGATATATAAGAAGTGTGGCTGCACTTAATATGAAAGGTGAATTATGGTTGAGCAGACATATAGTCAAATTCCAAGTTTTATTTACATTTTATTTTGATGAAAACGTGTACTTTTGGCTCAGTCCTTAAGGGGTTAATACTATATAGATGTTCTCAATTATTTAGATTCAGACCATATATTTAATTTCACATCGTTTTAAATTTATTTATTTATTAAAGAGGGTTCCAACTTTCGTAATGTCCTGGATAAAGCAGTTGGAGCAGATGCTGTTGTAAAAGAGCGCTATTTGTCTCATCGTGAAGCAATATCCATTTTGTGTAAGCCAGAAGCACAACTCAATGCATCAATTCCTTCTGCAAACCCAGCAAAAACCATGCAGGGTAGTGAGGTAAGTCCCCTAAAATATTAAAAATTAAAATACAGCTTGAAAGAAAAGTTGAATATGGTTTGTAAGGCAAATGAAAAATGTTTTCTTTTTGTATAGCAGCAGTATGCAAATTCATTTTCACTTTACTGACAGGTAACCTAAAGTGATGATGATAATTATTAGGTCTATTTTTGAAAAAGGTAAAAAGAAAAAGCATATGCTACTCTCTGGGCCCCTGAAATACATAAGGGTGGTTCTAGCCTTGCAAGTAGCTCAAGGAATGCATGCACAGGATGTGTGTGCGTTTGTCTGTTTTTCAGCAGCTCTACACTTGTGCAAATGGGAATAGTTTGGGGCCAAACAAAAAAAATTAACGTAGTACTCTAACCCCCCAAAAAAAGTGTATTACAGTAATCTTTGCGGGCATTGTCTCCTTGTCCCACCCAAGTACTTGCAAAGAAAATAACCATTGAACTAAATGTCTTATTGTGCCCATGAGAAGTTAATGCTATGTTTGATCTACTGTCAATGTTAAGCAAATTTGCTAATGAACAAGCGCTATGTTTCATTTATACTCGCTCCTGCTAATAGTAGTTTAGCTCAGTTAAGCAACCATCACCTTTTCTTTCTATATTTTATAAAAATAGTGCAGTTTATCAGTCATAAAATTAATCCGATGTATATTTCCTATTGATGCCTTGACATTTTAACTTATATGTCCTTGTGTGTTTTTTTTTTTTTTCTGCACTGCAAAAATATAAAGTTGACCAAAAAAATGGATATAAAGCAAAAACTCACCTACAGTCCCACACCAAAATTCTCTCTGGAGTCTGACCATCCCCCAAATAGAAGTGTGTTTTGGGAGAACGCTTATATATTTCTATTTTAGTTTTGATTGGTATTTTAACTAAGTTTTCAGTGATAGTATTGGTGCTGTGTCTCTGTATACATGTGTTATCTATTACCTACCTGTATTTTTGTATACCCACAATTTTTTTTATTTTTTTTTTACCAACAAGCCAGGGTATTTGTTTTTCAGGAACCCACATACTACGCTAATCACAAGGGATCTTTGATTCAGGTAGGCACTAGCGTTTTGCGGTGCCTAGGTAACTAGGGACAGTATTGGGGCTTCCCACGTCACTAATCCCATATACACCTGTACATCTTGGTCTCCTTGATAAGTTACTTATTGTACCAGGATATTTATAGAGGAGTGGATTGTCCTTACCTTTCTCTAATAAGGGCACTGTTTGTGACGAAAGCCACTTCGCCACTGGGCATTGGAGAAGACTACTTGCCAGCCTTTTACCCTGTGACTATGGCACCTTTAATTTATTTTGGCTGAGAGACTCTAATTGTGCCCATTGGGACTTTAAACATTTGTTCTTCGAACTCCTGAACAGTCGAAGTGGCCGTCTTGTTCGCATGGGCTAAAACCGCGAATAGACTTCAGGGGGACTTAGCCATGAATGCCCTGAAACTATTTTCGGCATGAAAATCTTACGGTTCCCGGTCGGTCCTCCAGCTGCACTTAGCCGCGATTCTATGGAACTGTTTTGGGCATGAAATACTGTGTTCGCCTGGGCAAAACTATGAATTTCTGAACCCCTGATCTGATCTGGGTGATTTTTTTTGATATGTTGTTCACCCAGATCAGGGGATATGTTATGTTTTGGAGTACTTATGGGCCTTTATAAAAATGTGTGGTTTTTCTGCCTGTGGATAATTAAAGGACCAGTATAATGCCAGGAAAACACTTGTTTTCCTGGCACTATAGTGTTAATAGGTCCCAGGCTGAAGGGGGAAAATCTCACCTTTCTCCAGCGCCGGGTTCCCTCCGACGTCATCGACTGTGCATGCGCGGCAACAGCTGCGCACGCATTCAGTCAGTCCATAGGAAAGCATTTCTTAATGCTTTCCTATGGACGGCAGCGTTTTCTCACTGTGAAAATCACAGTGAGATGCGCCTCTAGCGGTTGTCAATGAGACAGTCACTAGAGACTGGATTAACCCATATGTAAACATAGCAGGGTTAACCCTAGATGGACCTGGGACCCAGACCATTTCATTAAGCTGAAGTGGTCTGGGTGCCTATAGTGGTCCTTTTAAGTTAATGCATTATGTCCCTTAATGTCCCTTAATTATATCACAGGCAGAGGGATTGTTTACTGTATGTGAGAGTGTCGTACTGTTAATTACGGTTTTCATTGGTTTACATCCCTTGTGTCCCTGTCCTCCATCAGGTCCAGTGTGTGTTTGCCCCTGGCCTGTAAAACTGTATAAAAATCCAACCTGTGCTATTAAACTCTTCTTACCCTCAACTCGCAGCCTCGTCTCGTTTTGTAGGAAACTGCTATATCACTACAAGGGATTGCTCTGATCCTCATACTCCCTTGGATAATCATTAGCTCTTGTATCATTAGCTCTTCCTGCTATGCTCTCTGAAGGAAGAGAGGTTCACCCACTGGAGCCTTGTCGTTGGTCCAGGGTGGGTTGGAGATGGCGAGACCCCAACCAAGCTGCGGCGGTTCGTGGAGTCTGCAGTGCTTATGGTGTCTAGTGAGGTGCTGATGGTCCTTGGTGAGCACTAGGAGCATCCGTCGGCGGAGGGTCCGTCACACTGTTATTTTCTCGATTGAGGCAGGTAGATTGGGTGGAGATTATTCGTTATTTCACTCCTCAACTCTGCCCTCCCTCAGATGAACTTTTTAAGCACAGTCTACGTTTTTCTGATTATGTAATGTTATCTAAGCTTCTAATAAAGTTAATTTTTTTTAAATTTTATTTACTGTATTTATAATTTCACTGTGCTTTTGCTCACTGTTCCTCCTATTTTTTATCGGTGACCATTGGGCTAATTTTTGTTCATGAGTAACTACAGCATCTAAAGGTGGGTTTGTGTTTGTACTTAATTTAGCATTTATAGTTTTCTGTAAAACTGTCATTCTTCCAGGCAAGTACACCTTCCTTATTTTAATTTTTTATTATATAAATAACTCTTGCTGTTGCCTGTTGCTCCAAGCTTAGCGTGGTTATTTTCAAGACCCTGGGGCTAACCTGCTCTGTTATACATAGGTCAACTGTGTCTTGATAACGTTATCAGTTTACAAACGTCCACAAAGACACTACTTATATAATTGAATATTAGATATGCTTTACATAATACTGCTTTAAACTATTTGATGTCACCGTTCTTCCCACTAGAATGCTATCTTTATTCTTTGTGTTGTCTAAACTGCTTAATAAAATCTATTGAGCGTAAAAAAAAAATTTCATTTTACTCATTCACATATCTGTAAATCCAGAAAACTGATAATTTTGCAGTGGTTTTACCTATATAGATAGGGAGAGAGATAATGTTGTTTGGATGAATTTCCTTTTGGAGAGGTGAATGTCCCCTTCCTTTTGTTTGCTATTCTATTATTCACTGGGTGTGGCACTTTAGCTTTAAGAAAAAAAAAATCTGTTGAAACATTAGCCTGCTCATGTTGTGCATTTTAGCAGAGTTTTTTTTGTCACTTGTTCCGGGTTGGTTAATGACACTGCCAGATCTGGAATTACATCTGTGGCAGCAACCTGCTATAACTCTATGTGCAGTTTTTCAAACTGAAACACTACACATACAGACTCCAAGCATCATAACCACTTCAAAACACTGACATAATCATGGTGCTTGGAGTAACCCTTTAAGGTAGTTAAATGCTGCCAAGCTGATCTCATCACAGGTATTGTTTAACCTGTCACCATGTTTACCTGGGCATTTTTCAGATCTATAAGTTTGCATGGAAATCCTATGTTTTTTCAGATCCTGCATATCTCTTTATCATTGGATGAACAATTGAGACTAAGATTGAAATTCTAGCCATTGTAATTTAATTTCTTTTTCCTGAGGGAATTATTGTCTCATGGAATAATATACAATTTAGTCATTCTCTTTGACCTTTCATTAAATAAAGGATGCCACAGTAAAATTATATCTGCAAAACAAGTGTATCTTTATTTAAACTGCTTGTTTTCAGATCGTGGTCCACTGCACAATTTAACAAAGCTGCAATACATGTGCCAGGTTAAGAATCAGGTTATCCATAGCTCTATTGACTGTAAAATGAATTGACAAGTCCAGTTATAAATTTTTTTCAATATACCTATTACAGATTGCAACATACATTTCTTCTTAAAAATTCCCGGATACCGTACATACTTGTCTAGTAATCTGGTTGAAAAAAGACTAGAGTTCAACATTGAAACTAATTTCTTGTATTGTTTTGCAAAGAAAGACACACACACCCAACTTCCTGACTTTCATCCAGATGTGGTGTTATTTATATCGGCAAGCTGCTAAAATAATCAAGAAATCCATAAGTAAACTATCTGGAAAATGAATTGGGCATGTCCCATGTGTTGGGACATAAATTGTCAAATACATTCAAATGGTTTATTGCCAGAAATGTAATGTCTAAGATTCAGCACACAATGTGCTTTCTTTTGCCAATAACTTGCCTCATTAAATTTGTGAGCTGTTAATTTGCTTAAAGGACCACTTGTTTTCCTGGCACTATAGTGCCCTGAGGGTGCCCCCACCCTCAGGGTCCCCCTCCCGCCCAGCTCTGGAAGGGGAAAAGGGGGAAAAAACTTACCTTTTTCCAGCGCTGGGCGGGGAGCTCTCCTCCTCCGATCCTCCTCTCCTCCCATGCGGCTGAATGCGCACGTGCGGCAAGAGCTGCGCGCGCATTCAGCCGGTCACAAAGGAAAGCATTATCAATGCTTTCCTATGGACGCTTGCGTGCTCTCACTGTGATTTTCACAGTGAGAAGCACGCAAGCGCCTCTAGCGGCTGTCAATGAGACAGCCACTAGAGGAATTGGGGGAAGGCTTAACCCATTCATAAACATAGCAGGCCTAGCTGGACCTGGCACCCAGACCACTTCATTAAGCTGAAGTGGTCTGGGTGCCTAGAGTGGTCCTTTAAAAATCAGGCACATTATTAAAGTCTGATACATGTGAATAGATAGGTCCTCAATTTCAGTTTTGTTGCACCGTCCTTTTTACTTGTCACAAGTATACATAAAGGGTAATGCTGGACTTGGGGGAAGTAGCAAAATTGGGAAGTTCAGATGCACTAGTGCATTATTGTTCTATAGCAGGGGTCAGCAACTTATGGCAAGTGTGACATGCATGGCATTCAAGGTGGCCAGAGCCGTGTTTGCAAGTGGTGAGGGACAATCATCTCTTAAGGGATTTCAGCACTTAAAAGGAAGTTATCTTGAATCACTTTCTCCCAGTACTTGTAAATGTTAATCCACACCCTGACCTGTACCTAGCCAGCCTGGTCCACACTGGATCCCAGGGAAGTCACCCAAACTGCTTGATATACACAGAGCTACAGAAAAAGGCTTGTCTTCATACAAATCATACAAACAGCCCACCCCAATAAACACACAGTTCCCATAAACACACCACCACTGACAATCCACTTAAATGACCACTGTAGGCACCCAGACCACTTCAGCTTAATGAAGTGGTCTGGGTGCTAGGTCCATCTAGGGTTAACCCTGCCTGCTGTAAACATAGAAGTTTCAGAGAAACTGCTATGTTTACCTATGGGTTAATCCAGCCTCTAGTGGCTGTCTCATTGACAGCCGCTAGAGGCGCTTCCGCGCTTCTCACTGTGATTTTCACAGTGAGAAGACGCCAGCACAGTGAGAATGCTTTCCTATGGACTGGCTGAATGCGCGCGCGGCTCTTGCCGCGCATGCGCATTCAGCCGATGACGGCGAAAAGGAGGAGGAGAGTTCCCAGCGCCGAGGGAGCCTGGCAAGGGAAAACAGGTAAGATTTAACCCCTTCCAACCCCTAGAGCCCGGCGGGAGGGGGGACCTAAAGACCCTATAGTGCCAGGAAAATTAGTGTTTTCCTGGCATTATATAGTGGTCCTTCAAACCCAACAAGCAGCCCCACACATACACAAACTACCAAACACACAATATGACATATCGACACACAATTCCACCAGCAGCCACCATACGCAGCCACCATACACAGCCCACATTTATAGGTATCCTACACAATACCACAAACTACTCATTAACATATACAGTACATCAGCCCATCTAGGCACAAATACAAAACAACTGCAGCACCCATAAATAACACAAGCACAATACAGTAACATGCACATCTCAATTTAAAAGTATAGGACCGGCACTCCAATATCTTGTTTTGGCACAGTACTACTAAAAGGTTGCCCAACCGTGTTCTATAAAAATTGTATAATTAACAAAATGGCCATCTATATCTGCATAAACAATTTTGTTTTAGACACACTGAGGAAGTAGTGTACTACTTCTGTCCATCTGATTCTTTGAAGCACAGCTGATGTAGAAAGAAATTAAAGAGCATGGATGATTATGGCACTTACAATATCCCTTTAACATTTTATTGTAGAGTTTTAGTGCATCTAAACTTTGTGTGTATGTAATATATTTGTGTATATAATTTTTTTTTTAATTGTTTTTAGTAAAAAGGCTTGTTTCAGTAAAAACGCTTTAGTGTCACTGTTCTTATTTATACTTTGTACCTCCATGTGTCTGATAAAAATAATAAAATAAAATAATTTTTACTTCCCTTTTTTCATAAATGCTTATCTCTATTTCTGCAATGCCATGGAGGAGAGCTCATCTGGCATTGTCAACTGCAGTGCCCCTCTGGGGATGTATTAAGGACCTGATGCGGATGCATGGTGGTACCGCACGTGCCTTCAAGCTTCCGCATAAGAAAGCATTGAATCCATACAAAACAGCAATGTTTTACGTTCAATGTTAAAAGGACAGGAATGCACCCAGGTTACTTTAAACGAAAGTGACCTGGGTGACTTCAGTGGTCCTTTAAATGCTAAATTCAGACGGTCGCAAAATAATACAGGTTAAAGTCTTAAGGAGATGGCAAATAGTTGTACTGTACACTTTGTCAGTATTTCAAAGTGAATTTCGAATTTTAGGCCATAATAGCTACATTGGAAAAATGCTCTAAGCAGCTATGTTTTCGGTTTTGATATTTTAGCCTAAAACTTTTGAAAGTCTTTTTATTCACATTTCCCAACAATTTAGTTTTGTGAATAATCCTATCTTACACCATCTAGACTATGGAAATATTTATTTTTTTGGGTGTGTGTTATGTATAGAATTTCAAATACTTCCAGTGCTGAATTAAAAAAAAATATATATATATATCTATATATCTTGTTTTTTTAAAAGTGTTTGTGTATAATTTGTAGGGCCGTTGTATTAATATGCATATTATGCTTTGGAAAATTAAAAAGCAAATATCTTTGTTTTTTAGGTCGTAAGCACACTAAAATCATTGTTATCAAAGTTGGATGAAGTAAAGAGAGAGCGAGAACAGCTTGAAAATGACATCAAATCTGTCAATTTTGATATGACAACCAAATTTCTAACTGCTTTGGCTCAAGATGGAGCTATTAATGAGGAGGCCATATCTGTGACTGAACTTGATCGAATCTATGGAAATTACACTCACAAAATGCAGGAAAACCTAAAGAAGCAGGAAGAGCTTATTAATAATATACAGGTAGCAAATTATACTTTATAGTTAATATTGAATTTGGTTTAAATGGGAATTATGAAACATTGTCCAATATAAATCTAGAAGAAATGGGCAATTTATGTTTGTTAAAAAATTTGCACACCCAAAGTTGGGAGTGAGTTACATGTACACCGACCTGACAAGCAACCATATTGTCTAAGCTCTCTCTCAGAAGTGACCTTACAAGGTTAAAAGTGACTCTATAAATGCTCCCGTTGGCTTGTTGTTGCATTCAGCTTTTTGCCATGAGTTCTGCACAGATAAGCAAGTGGCTCAGCCCATCAAGAGGCTTTAATTCTATTCAATGAAGCCTGATGTCCCACAACCTCCTGCACTTTGTACCAAAGCCAGTACATTATGATATAGTCGTTTTTATGATCAAACTCCCTGTAGTCTTAAAAATGTAAGACGTTATCACTTAGGATGCCACTAGAGGCTTGCAGACCGCTATTAAAGGTATTACATCATTTAGACTTTGTTACTGAAATTCTTCATGTTGCGCATCACTGAATGCTGTCAGTGCTTTCAAGAGAGAATCATTGGATTCATTGCTTCTTTCTGTAAAAAAAAAAAAAAATCAGAAGTACGTCAGGCTAATCTCAAAGGAGGAGTGGCAGACATTTCAAGGGTTGGCTAAGAAGTGGGTTTAATTTTTTAACAAATCTATTTTAAATTCAGAAAATAGTAGGTAACTCGAGGAGAACTCCTCAAGTTCAGTATAAATTGCGCAAACAAATATACTCCCAATGGTGGGATATATTTTAAAAAATAAGATGTAGTAAAAATGTCACTTAATCCTGGATATAACTATAAAACGTACATAAGGCTTATATTTGAGATGCAGCTCCTTTAAATAGAAAGAATCCCTACACGTTCTGTATACTGTGTATTCAATAGAAGGTTTTTAAAAGAAGCGCAAAGTATTTTAAATTCAGTGTGTCCCTTTAAATACTTGGCTGTAAAGATGAATACAATTAATATCTAGACCAGAGTTTCTCAATTGGTGTTCCACGCCGCGAGAACAAAATTGGAGTTCCGCTGCGATTTGCATGTTGGGTGGCCCAAGCATTTAGGGTCACCCAATGTTTATCACTAAACAGGGGTCCGGTCAGGTGCTGCGGCTGTCTAAGACTGTGACCGGACCACTGTTGTATGGGATGCTGGGAGGAAGTGACAGCACTTCCTCCCAGACAGAGTGCGCTGGCTGGAGGGAGAGAGGGAGCAGCAGAGACTGAGCAGCACACCAACCTCAACCAACAGCACTGTAGATCCTCCTGCAGAAATAAATGTAAACGTGTGTGTATGTGTCTGTGTACCTGTGTCAGTGTGTATCTGCCAATGTATAAGAATCTGTGTCTGTATGTATGTGCTGGTGTGTTTGTGTGTCAGTGTATGTGCCAATTTGTGCATCATTGTGCCACACACACACACATACATACATACGTATTCACACCGGCACATACACAACTTGACACCCATATACACACACTGACACAAGGACACACAGATACATACACACATCTTGACACACAGTGTGCGTCTGTGTGTCAGCGTGTATCTGTGTCAAGTTGTGTATGTGCCACTTTGTGTATCTGTGTGTCAAGATGTGTGTATACGTGTCAGTGTGTCTGTGTTTGTGTGTATATGACTGTGTGTGTCGGCATGTTTCTGTTTGTTAAAGGGACACTATAGTCACCTGAACAACTTTAGCTTAATGAAGCAGTTTTGGTGTATAGAACATGCCCCTGCAGCCTCACTGCTCAATCCTCTGCCATTTAGGAGTTAAATCCCTTTGTTTATGAACTCTAGTCACACATGTGACTTGCACAGCCTTCCATAAACACTTCCTGCAAAGAGAGCCCTATTTAGGCTTTCTTTATTGCAAGTTCTGTTTAAGATTTTCTTAGACCCTGCAAGAGCATCCTGTATGTGATTAAAGTTCAATTTAGAGATTGAGATACAATTATGTAAGGTAAGTTACATCTGTTTGAAAGTGAAACCAGTTTTTTTTTTTTCATGCAGGCTCTGTCAATCATAGCCAGGGGAGGTGTGGCTAGGGCTGCATAAGCAGAAACAAAGTGATTTAACTCCTAAATGACAGTGAATTGAGCAGTGAAATTGCAGGAGAATGATCTATACACTAAAACTGCTTTATTTAGCTAAAGTAATTTAGGTGACTATAGTGTTCCTTTAATATGTAAGTATGTATGTGGCAGTACATGTGTAGACATCCCAGCAATCAAACACCAACACAACACAAACTCCTGAAAACACAAACATGACATAAAAAGATACCGCTGAACTCTAACTCCATAATTATATAGAAACACTAAAACACAAATACTACACACAAATGTACATCTACATTTAAAATCCAACGCTACATCTAAATACACCTCTACACGCAAATGCTAACATTCCATAAAAATACATCCCTGTATTAAAATGATACAATTACATACAAACTCCAACTCTACACACAAACACATAGCTCCTAAGTACTCCAATCTGTTTACTATCTGTAGAAATTAGTGTGTGTATATAGTTGAAATTATTTTCTTTGCAACATTTGCGAATTGAAAGGTTTATGCAATGGCGCGTAATTTTTTTTTTTTAATGGTAGGGAGGGAGAGTTCCACGATGTTGATACTGTCAGTGGGTTTCAATGGAAAATTTAATTGGGAAACTATGATCTGAACTAATGTCAGCTGCATTGACCTGACTCAGGGTCACTCTCCCTGCCAGGCAAGGGAGGATTTATATTGTTTGCACTGTATTAAAATTTGAAGGGCAGAGGAGAAACTGTTGCCTGAAGGGGCAGATTTATGGTTACGATTTTAGACATCATGGCAGCTATGACCGACTTTAATCCCTTAAGGACGGCGGGCCTACTATGCCGTCCTTGGGGACCCGGCTCTAAACGATGGGGAGACGTGCCTGGCATCCCAGGGAGTACCCCTGCTGCTGATTCGGCCCTTCCGAGCCATGTGATCGCGAGGTCCTTGTGAGGACCTCACGATCACATGGACGGAATACAGTGTTTGTGACTAAGTGGCTACTAAAAAAGACTGGACATACCCCATTTGCAAAACCTTGGGTTGTCTACTATTGCAAATGGTATGCCATCATGGGGGGAAATTCTCATTCCTGGGCTACCATAGGCTCTCAAACGCAACTTAACCAATCTGGTGAATTTCAATGTGAAAAAAATGTAACATGCTATATTTGACCCTGTAACTTCCCAAAATACCATAAAACCTGTGCATAGGGGGTACTGTTTGACATGTGAGACATCGCTGAATACAAATGTGTATTTTATTGCAGTAAAAGCAAACCGTATTGTGACATTCACAGTTAAAATGTCATGCAGAACTTAAAAAAATAAAATTTCTTAATTTCTCTCTCTTTTTTTTTTTTTTATATTTTATTCATATTAAATTGTTTCATATCTAAATATTTGATGTTAAATGAAAGCCCTATCTCTCCTGTATAAAATTACATAAGTGTGGGTGCACTTAACCCCTTATGGACGCTGGATGGAAATTTTCCATCAGTGCAGCATTCCCCTTAAAGGACCACTATAGTGCCCTGAGGGTGCCCCCACCCTCAGGGACCCCCTCCCGCCCGGCTCTGGAAAGGGGAAAGGGGTTAAAACTTACCTCCTTCTCTCCTCCCCGTCGGCTGAATGCGCACGCGCGGCAAGAGCTGCGTGCGCATTCAGCCGGTCACATAGGAAAGCATTCATAATGCTTTCCTATGGACGCTGGCGTGCTCTCACTGTGAAAATCACTGTGAGAAGCACGCAAGCGCCTCTAGTGGCTGTCAATGAGACAGCCACTAGAGGAAATAGGGGAAGGCTTAACCCATTCACAAACATAGCAGTTTCTCTGAAACTGCTATGTTTATGGAAAAAATGGGTTAACCCTAGAAGGACCTGGCACCCAGACCACTTCATTAAGCTGAAGTGGTCTGGGTGCCTAGAGTGGTCCGTTAAGGACGCGGAACGGAAAATCTCCGTCCAAAACTAAAATTAACCCCAGATTGCTGCAATCATGTTTTTTTTTTTTGGTTTTGGTTTTTTTTAATCCTCGAGTTAAATTTATTTAGTTGGTTACTTAAATAGTTGTAAAATGTTTATTAAGCTAGGGTGGGTAGAAGTTAGTGATGAAATTGGGGGATTTACGGTTAGGCTAGTTAGGGGTTAACAGGAAAAAAAATCAAAAGTGAATAAAAACTTTTGAAAATTTTAAACAAAGTTTTAAAATAGTAAAATTGTTAAAAGCTAAAAAAAAAACACTTTTTAAAAGTAAAAAAAAACTAAACTTTTTTAAACTTGGTACAGGCTATCGAAAAAATGATACGACACGAAGGTTTGAAATATGCCTTTCGAAACACCCTGGGGTGTCTTCTTTAGGAAATGGTATGCCTTTGTGAAGTAACTGGAAAACACAACCTATTAAAAAAAAAAAAAAAAAATCCAAAGTCTGGCATGGACCCAGCGTAAAAATTCATAGCACATATAAGGTTTGCAAACTATAAAGTACAAACTCACTATGTGTGTCAAAAAGGCAGAAAAAAATGCTTATTACCACTACACTTGGTACCAGCTAGCGGAAAAATGATTTTACACTAAGGTTCAAAATATGCCTTTTAAATTACCATGGGATGTCTTCTTTAAGAAATAGTATGCCTTTTTGGGGTAGTTGTTAAAAGCAGCCTGCTAACATATTTCAAAATAGAATACAGACCCATTAAAATCCTCCGTGTAAATTCCCACTTAAAAACCTGAACTTGTCACGTCTCTTTTACAGCACTGTAACTTCACAAAATAGTGTATAGGTCATACATTGGGCTTATTGTTTTACTTAGAAGAGGTAACTGAGCATACTTAGGGGGAATTTGACAGTGGCACTTATGTACGAAACACCCAGCGAAAATGCAACATATATGTAAAAAATAAAAAATAAATTGGTGAATAAATAGTGGCAAGTTAAGGTATAATATATGCCTAATAAGATAACCTGGAGTGTCTGCTTTCTCAAATGGAAGGTCTTTGTGGGGTTATTTGAACAGTCAAATGGCTATAATGCCACAAAATCAGACATACGACCATGTGTGAAACTTCCAACTATAGAAACTGAAATAGCATGGTCTCCTATATGGCATTGTAGCTTCACAGAATAGGGGCAAAGGTATACAATGGGTTTTTTGTTGTACTCAGCAGATGTAGCTGAACACAATGTGAGCTTTACGAAATACACATTACAAAAACCTTGTTAAATGTATATATGCCAAAATAGAGAGAAAACACAATTTTACTCCAATATTTAGCAGAGATTGACGGTGAAATGGCTACGTAAAAAGTGTCTAAATAGCCTGTGATGTCTACTTTATATAAATATATACTTTTGTGTGGCAATTGTGTTTGTTTTCCAAGACAAACATACCAACTTCTAAAATTTTGACATTGAAATTTTATTTAAGACCTTGTAGTTTGTGACCTGTAACTTGAAAAATAAACTGAAATCCTACACACATTATGTACTTTGTAAATCAAGACACGTAAATGAATTGATTTTGAATTACTTTTCCTAAGCTGGACATATTATGCATATATTATTGCCAAAACGTGGGAGGAAAGCATTTTTTTGTTTCCCTCCCCTTCCCCATTAATTTGCATTTTTTTTTTTTAAATAAATGAGAATTTATATATGTATATGTCACATCCAATTGAAGCCCTTTTTTTTTAGTTGTCTAAAAAAAAATCAGTATATAATGTGTTGGTACAATAAATGAGAGAGATGCAAATTGCAGTTGAACACAAACAGCAAATATTGCTTGTGTCCTTAAGGGTATGTCCAGCTTCTAAAGCTGTGTCCTTAAGGGGTTAATATGAAAGAGATGAATTACGGTTGAACAGACATATAGTCAAATTCCATGTTTTTTTTACGTTTTATTTTGATCAAAACGTGTACATTTGACTCAGTCCTTAACCCCTTCCCGATCGCAGACGGAAATTTTCAGTCAACCTTGTCCTTCAGTTAAAGACCGTTGACGGAAAATGTCCGTCATTTATGAAAGTTAACCCCAGATCGCGGGGTTAATGGTGCTCCGGTCTGCCTCTGTTTTTTAAAGCCCTTTCTGTCCTTTAAAAAACAGTATATAATATGTGTCAGTGCAATAAACGAGAGAGATGCAAATTGCAGTTGAACGCATACAGCAAGAAAATGCAGAAATTGCTTGTGTCATTAAGCGTAAGACAAGCTTCTGAAGCTGTATTTTTAAGGGGTGAAACAAGAAGACAGGGACAGGTGTATAATAAATTGTTGTAGTAAATGAGTGTCCTTTTAATTGTCCAGGTTTTTTTTCTGCCTGCAAAATATGTTTGTATTTTCTATTTAAATATTATCCTGTATTTTGTTGTTACAGATTTCTTACCAAGAGTTTTCAAAAATGAAACAATCAAATAGTGAAGCTAATCTCAGAGAAGAAGTCTTGAAAAAACTTGCTGTAGGACATGACAACTACATTGAACTTGTAGCAAATTTGAAAGAAGGCACAAAGGTTATTTAACTTTTTTTTTTAGTTGAAGGAGATTTTTATTTTTTTTAAATCTGCAAACTTTGTTTATAACTTTGTGTCCTAGATTTTACACTTTATATGCTGGGATGTTTTGTTACTATTTGCTTTTTTTGTGGGTTTTTGTATTTTTTTAAACATGGTTTTATTTTGAGCACCTTAAGATAAGACCTACCAAAAGCTAGGTGAAGAGCAGATGACCGTAGCTCCACTGATATTATAGTCAAATTACTTTGGAATGTTTTTTATGATACATGCATTTTTGACTCTCTGCATGTGTTATGGCTGGCATTTATTCGCTGATATCTTAGGGAGAGTCCCTAATTTTTATATAAAATCCATCACAAAAAAATCTATTTAAGCATTGCAATTTTAATGCTTCGATTTGCCCTTTCATACCTTTTATTTAGTGAAACTTTTTTCAGCATTAGCCAACACGCTCACCCTATCATTGGTTTCACATTGGTAAACATGCATGAGAAAGGTTCATATCAACTGAAGCACAGAGAGTGAAATCCAATTGGTAAATTATTAAATGCATAATTAAAGATATAGTGGAAGACCTTCGAGAAGGGGTCTGGCTATTTTTAACAATTAGAGTTATTATTGTACCTTTACGTCAAGCAGCATTCTTGCAGCATGCAAATAATCTCTTCCCCAAAGAATAGGCATACAAGCCTTTTACTACATACATGGAGGACTACATATCTTATTTTACATTTCTTAGATATCTGCTAACATGGAGATATTCTTACAACTTATAATTTTGTTTTTCCCATCTAGACTTCTAGAAACACAATAGTCACCCAGACCACTTTTTGTCAATGAAGTGGTCTGGGTGCAGTGGTTCTGTCACTTTCACCCTGCAATTTAAAACAATTGCAGTTTTTTTATAAACTGCCATTTTTGCGTTGCTCGGTTGAATCCTCTTATAGTGGCCATCTTTCCGACTACCACAAGAGGCATTTCCACTGCATTGACTTGGTTAAACTTTCTTAATAATGAAATTACCACACAGTGCTTTATTTCCACCCAGGGAGCCACTATCAGTATTACATTAGACTTGTGGTGGCACAACCAAACTATATAAAACATATAACCGCACAGGCTAACAAAAAAACAATAAAATATTACTGCTCAAAAGGTAGGGAAGGGGATTGGGACACAAAACTTAGCACCCTGACTTATGCAATGCAGGTATATGCAGACTTGTACAAACATGCAAATTCTCTAGGTTAAACTTTAGTTGTTGCACATATTCTATGCAGAACAATGGAAATAGAGAAATACTTTGTAAATACTGTGATACTGCCAGATAGACCATGCATTACAGGCTAATCCAGATGTGGAATAAGTTGCTCACCATGCCTTGACGGGTTTCATCAACACATGAGACCCACCAAGTATATAACAATTTTTATGCGATTGCTGCATCTTTTGCTTTAGAATGCCATTTTTGCCAATAGGGATTGCTGGTTTACATAGCATATAATAATCTGTTTTTCATCAGTTATATGACCTATTAAAAAAATCTTAATATGGAATTTGTTTATCCATTTGCTTAAAAAAGGGGAGACTTGACCAAGACTCACAAGGGCATTGTTGAAAGTCAAGAATTAAATAAAAAATACTTTAGTCGTTCAGAAATTCATTGACATTACAGGATATGCCACTCTGCTGGTTATATAGGACTTGTGTTAAACCATTTTCTTAAAGGACCACTATAGTCACCCAGACCACTTCAGCTCAATTAAGTGGTCTGGGTGCCAGGTCCCCCAGGTATTTGCCCTACAGCTGTAAACATAGCAGTTTCAGGGAAACTGCTATGTTTACATTGCAGGGTTAATCCAGCCTCCAGTGGCTGTCTTCCTGACAGCCGCTAGAGGCGCTTGCGCGACGCTCAATGCGAGCACACAGAACGTCCATAGGAAAACTTTGAGTAATGCTTTCCTATTGGCGGTTTGTATGTGCGCGCGCGGGGCTATGGCCGTGCATGCACATTTGGCTCCTCTCGGGAGCTGACGTCAGAGGCGGAAGAGAGGTCAGCAGCACAGAGGGAGCCCGGCGCTGGATTAAGGTAAGTGGCTGAAGGGGAATGCACACATTCTCACATACATCTCATTGGCACAATCAATCTTTATTTTTTAAGAGGTACAACCAGCCTCCCTCTCTTGAAATTAGTATTTTGTGACTTTGAACAGGGGGACATGCAGTTAACTCTTAAAGCACTTCAGCATGCTTAAGTGCATAATGAGTCTCTTAAAGTTTTCACTGTTGTGGTTTCTGCATGGATGACTTTAAAATCCCAGTGATCTGCTAAAAGCTACTGTGAATATGTTAGTGCAAAATAAATGCAAAGATACTTTGTGAAATGTAAATTAATGTATTAGCAAATGTTCTTATTTTTCTTGTAGTTTTACAATGATTTGACAGAAATTTTGCTGAAGTTCCAAGGCAAATGCAGTGATATTGTTTTTGCACGCAAGACAGAGAGAGATGAATTGTTAAAGTAAGTAATACAGGACTTAAAATTTGTTGTCCTATGCTTCAAGCCAGGCCTTATATTTACTTGCCACAGCAAGCCAATGGATGATAAATATAATTTTTATATTTTTTTGTATAGGTAAACAATTTCTTATGCATACTAATGTAATTTGGCATTAATAGTTTCTGTATTCCCAGTTGCTGACTCAGAGGAGTAAAACAGACGTAGTAGTAATAACCCATGTGTTCTTGGTTGTACTACCAGCAGCTTAGTCCCTTTTCTCAGGTGTTCAGAGGAAAGATCAGGAATACAGCTAGTAAAAGAGAACCTGTGATTGGACCGTTTCACTGGCTCATGAGCAAAGGAGGGAGGAAACCCCAAAAAAGTGACCATTAGCTGGGAAGGCGGGAGGGCTTGAGTAATTGAGGGAGAGGGACATCCTCTGCTTGCAGGGGAGAAGCTCAATATGTTTGGTGCAGTGCGTGCAACCCAGGATGTATTTTATGCACATAATTTACATTAGTCCAGAACAGTGTTACATGATGCTTAAGTCACGTGTACCAGGGATGTAACTAACCCCCAGCACACAGGTGCAGAGTTCTCTATATATCAAGCAGAACGCAGCACATACAGATTCCTACCACCGTTAGCCCATCAAATAATTGCTTGAAGTAACCCTTTAAGAAATATTTGCTTTGGAAAATAATTCCTAAATATTTTGTTTCATTTTAAGGTTGTTGGTTTTTTGTTTCATTTTAAGGTTGTCCTTTTTAAAAAACAAAACAAAAAAAAACAACTTTTAAGCCAATTGGCACAGTTAAGTCCTGGTACTTTAGCTACGCGGCACTAATCTCAAAGAGGCTTTCAATTGCTAGTGCACCTGCCTTACAAAGACTTCTAAATCTATGATTGTACAGCCCCAGAAAGTCTATTCTGATGAAAAAGAGCTTGCAGTAGCTGCAGATCTAGATCTACAGGTAATACACTGCAATATTTCATGTAAAGAACAAATAACACATTTTTTTTTCTTTGAGGGTATATCTTCTAGCATTCAAGTTCTATTCTTGTTTTTAAATGGCGTTGGAGAAGTCCAGTTTGATGGAATCTTACTAAATAATAAAGGGATGTGTTTAAATTAAAGGCAACCAGACCGCCACTAGAGACGCTTCCAGGAACTTACCAGACTTTAGGTCGCCTAACTGACACTGGATGTCCTCACGCTATGCATGAGGACATCCAGCGTAAGTGAAAACCCCATAGAAAAGCATTGATTGTTTTGCTGCCTGTATAGTATTACTTACCTGTAAGTAATGTACTGTGCTGAATGTCGTTAAAAATACAATCCTGACTTAAAATCAGTTTGTGAATTGTTTCAAATTGTTTTTTTCAGCTTCTTTTCGATCAACAGCAGAAACTGCAAGGACTTTTTTCAGTCTTAGTCTAATTCTATATAAGCTACTTTATGGCAGAAAAACATGAAAACTACATATTTAGTCATAGCTTTCAATGTTTCTGGTTAAATGTGATTTAAACCACACAAGTACTGTACAGATTTGTTTAAGATAAAGTTTCAGTTCTGAATTTTTGACTTGTATTCTGCAGAGATTTACAACAAAGTATTGCAAGAGAACCAAGTGCACCATCATTTCCTGTTGCACCAAGCTATCAGACAACACCATCAACCACTGCTAGCGCGTCTTCAAGTATTCCAACACCTGCACCCCGTACTGTCTTTGTAAGTATCATTTTCAATGTCAGTTTTTTAACAACTCCGTGTGTGTCTATTTACTGTAACATCAGAATTCATTTTGAGTACTATATTCCATTTCTCTCGGAAACTCCTTATTGTGTTTGTGTTTCTAGAAAACAGTACCTAGTCCCCTGGATCATGTAATTATTGGGATTGCATTGAGATAGGGTTCAAATGAAAAACTGAACTTGAATTCAATGGAGTAAAGTTATTTATCTGTTGTTATTTATTTATTTTTTTTAAAGATGTTTCTTTATGAATTCTCAAATGGTTGTCATTTAAAATTTTCTGTATACCTATAAATATAACCTATTTTCTTATTCCTCTTGGGCATCTGCCCAACTTATGTAATCATTGTCCCTGTTTGAAATTAAAACTATCAAGTTTTCTGCTCCAGTCCTGTGAGAATAGCATGCAGTGTTTATTCTATTCTATATAACATTACAAATCTACAAAGATTAATGGATTGCTGCTCAAATACTAATTGTAGGGTAAAAATAAATGATTTTATAATGTGTGTGTGTGTGTGTGTATATCTTCAGCATTACAGTGGCAAGGCATACCTTTAAATGTGTATTTCAGGTTTGTTTTTCTTTTAATTTAATACTTTTAATTTATACTAACTGTAGTTTGTACCTTTGGTTTATTGGCTTCTTTTTTTTTCTTTTTTTCACGGTTTACTTTGTGCTTCTACTTTCCTTGTACTTTCCATGTATAAAAATGTATATAATACCGTTTTTGTTATCCCAAATTTCAGGCCTTTTAATTTTCGTCATATAAATGATTTTCTCTGATCTAGCAGAACTTTTAGCTGTAGTCACAATCATGCTGAAGATATATATTTTTTTCAGGTAGCATTCAGTTTGTTTGCACTGGTATCGGATATTAACTGATATTTTTGTCAATAATTACAGTGCAATACTAGATAAGATGTAATACAGCAGCCTGTTCTTACAGGGAGAAATCATAATTTATTTATTTTTTACCTTATTTTGGATCAGCAGTAAGAAAGGATGTGTGAAAGAATGAACTCCATGTTCTTAGCCTTCAACTTTAAATTAGCTTTCATTTCTTTACATAGAAAGCTATTCTAGTATTTACTGTCGAAATATCCACAAGATCATAATATTGTTAATGGCTGATAAGTGGACCAACACAAAAGTCTATCATCATAGTCTGTTTCTGTAGGTAACTATTTATATACATATAACTATATCTATGAATGCTACAACAACCTAAAATTGTATAAAACTAGGACAAGAAGAGGACATGTTTAGCATATCATATACATGCTTTATATGAAGCAACATTTGTATAGTGAGAACATGTCATAACTACATATACACAGACTGTGTCTGTGAGTTTATAAATTCATTTGGCAGCAGTTCTAAATTTTAGAGTAGACCATAGCCCACAGGTGTCAGGATTATAGTTGATCCAGCACGCAGAATAGTATCACAAAACCTAGAACTGCATCTCTATAGGGAATGTTCAGCGCCTTCATGCATAGCGTGGAGACTCTAAATGTAGATGCTACACATTGTGCGGCACTGAGATAGGAGACACTTTAGTGGCCGTTTTTTCTCTCTGAAAAGACAGAGTTTACTTTGAAAAGCCTGCAGGGACAATCTATAGACACAGATAATTAAAGGTACAGGAATTAAATAAATGTATTCCTGACCCTATAGTGTTAAAAACCCTAGCCCACTTACCCCCCTAAATATAGTAAAATATTATCTTTATTCCAGTCTGATGGTGCTGGCTCTGCCCCTGGTCGGTCTCCTTGGATGACATCATCAGAAGTGATGATCTGAGCCAATCACAATGCTCTCCCATTAAACTGACTGAGTTTGCCAAGGAAATGGGGCAGGAGGCTGAGCCAAACTCCACCCTGACCAATCAGCTTCTCCTCATAGAGATGCATTGAATCAATTAGAAAGTTCAGTGTCTCCATGTAGAAGGTGGAGACACTGAATGTCAGTGGGGACTGATTAAACTCAACAGAATAAATATAAGAAGCTGTAGTTGTTCTGGTGACTGTAGTGTAAACCTTATCTGCTTAATCTGCTTTTATATTGCTCTTTGGAAGCATATTGCTGTATTCTGGTACATATGTAGTTGAGGATTTTTTTCAACTCCATTTACATACATCAGGATTGTGTGTGTATGTTAACAATATTAATATTATACATTTTGCAGAGTTGAGTAGCAAAATGGCCAAATTAAACACCTCTAAAAGATCTACTTCATAAAGAAAATAATCTTGTTTTTTTTATGTTCATCCCCATTACAATGGGGAAGTCCTACTACTTCATTACCCAGCCCAAGTATTTGTTTGTAAAGGGAACATGCATAGATAGCTTTATTTGCACATGTATTTTTGTAGAATATAGAGATGCACATCTATTAATGTGTATTTTAGAAGATAGTGGATGTAGTGGCAAATGTATTTTTACCATAATGGGTCACTTATTTTGCAATGCAGAAGTGAGAGGTGTGATAGCAAATTATTGATTTTGTTTACACTGTATGATCAATAAATTTTTAACTTGACGCATTGATTATTTTTAATTGTGTGATTGTTTAGCAGACTTACAAAATTGTGTAATGATTCCTTGATATTTGTTTTTTCCTCCTTTAGTCTGGTAAACAACCACCTCCACGCCCTCCTCCACCATCAGTACCTGCCTCTGCTCCAGCTCCTACTCCAGTTAGTGCGGCTCAAATGAATAATCCAGAAATCCCAACCGCTGCATCAGCTCCAATTCCTTCACAAGCTCCCTCCAACACACTACCTACACAGGCACAAGGGCCCCCTTTCCCATCCTACCCTGGATTTACAGGGTAAGCTATTGTTTTGATTTAGGTCAACATAATTGATTTCAATTTATGGCATGTAAAGCAGTAAGTAATATTGTCGGGATGACGCAGCATAAATGAATATATAATGATCAGTAGTCTAAGTATAAAAATGTCTATTTGTGTAATTTATATATTTTTCTTTTTTTTTTATTTAACAGATATTATGGAATGCATATGCCAGTTGGTTACAACCCATATATGTATAGCCAACAAGCCATTTCTCCATATATGTACCAACCACAATCTGGACAAGCGCCGTATCCAACTCAGCAGCCTGGCTACCCATACCCACAGCAGCCTTACTTTCCACCACAATAAAAAGTACGATGGCTTTAAAAATTCCTTGCTACGGAGTTTAAAAAGAAGTCTGCAATAAGCAAACTAAACTTTTAGCACAGTTATTGCATTGTATCATACTCAATTCTCCATATCTGTCTTGAGTTTTAAGAGCTACGTTTATTAGTCTGATTGCACCAAACTGCTGCCTACTTTCAAACACCTGGCATCAAGTGGTCAGAAAGAATGGTTGACCACTTACATTTGATGAAAATCAACTTCTGCAAATTGTTTTTTTTTTTTTTTAACATAGAGTGCTGAGGTGATTTCAAATGTGTAGTGTCCAAAACTCCTGTATTATTGTTTTTGAAATATAAAGATATTTGTGGGGGTGGGGGGGAGAAACTGGGTTGTAAGTTCTTTTCTATTTTTCTTTTTCCTTTGTTAATTCCTTTACATTTCTGTACTGGTATGCTATTTTGTCTATTAATCAAAGCATTGTAAATCATAATTTAAAAGAATAAAGAGATTACAAGTTTTCATCTAGTTTGCTGTATGTTTTCTTGTTAATTAAATGTATACTTTTGCTTAAACCATTTCTTGCAGTAGCTAAATATGTTTTTTCCCCTAAATTATTTGTTTTTCAATATATCGAGATCGAGGTTACTGTGGGTTTTTTATTCACTAAACCTGAACTATGGATAAGGGGACAAGTGTATTCCAAACTTTATGTGAAAGTTTGAGTGGTATTGGTGTATACATCATGCCCCATGCTGTTCCATTATTATTTTTGCTACAAATTTGGAGTTAAATCACTTTGTTTTTGTAGTGCTATCCACACCTGCCCTGGCTGAGAGTCACAGAGCCTTTGTACACACTTCCTGAAAAATAGCTTTTCTTATTGCACAGTCTGTTTCATTTAACTCCTGCTCTGTTAACCCCTTAACTACCCAGCACATTTTGATGGAAAATTTTAGCATAATATTTATTTGAAGCAAGGTATGCTTTATTAGGAGATATTTATATGCTAGCTATGTAACTTTGTGTATGGATTGCTTTGCAGACAAATTTAAACATTAAAAATATATGTAAATTTACACAATTTTTCTTTCTTATTTGTTCATCCTTTTTAACCCCTTAAGGACGGAGCCAAATGTACACGTTGTGAACGAAACAAAATGTAAACAAAACCTGGCATTTGCGCTACACGTCTGTCCAACCATAATTCACATCTTTCATATTAAATGCACCCACCCTTATTATATATCATTTTATTCAGGGGAAACAGGGCTTTCATTTAATATCAAATATTTAGCTGTGAAACATAATTTGATATGAAAAAAATTTGGAGAAAATTAGATTATTTTTTTTTAGTTCTACTTTTTTAGTTCTACTTTTTTTTTTTTAACTGTCAATGTCATAATACTGTTTTCTTTTACTGCAATAAAATACACATATTTGTATTCAGCAAAGTCGCACGTGTACAGGTTTTATGGTGTTTTGGGAAGTTACACGGTCAAATATAGCACGTTACATTTGAAATTGAAATTCGCCAGATTGGTTACGTTGCCTTTGGGACTTTATAGTAGCCCAGGAATGACATTTACACCCATAATGGCATACCATTTGCAATAGTAGACAACCCAATGTATTGCAAATGGGGTATGTCCAATCTTTTTTAGTAGCCATTTGGTCACAAACACTGGCCAAAGCTAGCGTTAGTATTTGTTTGTGTGAAAATGCAAAAACCGCCAATTTTGGCCAGTGTTTGTGACTAAGTGGCTACTAAAAAAGACTGGACATACCCCGTTTGCAATACCTTGGGTTGTCTACTATTGCAAATGGTATGCCATCATAGGGGTAATTTTCATTCTTTGGCTACCATAGGGTCTCAAAGGCACCGTAACCAAGCTGGCGAATTTTAATGTGAAAAAAATGAAACACAAGCCTTATATTTGACGCTGTAACTTTTGAAAACACCATAAAACCTGTACATGAGGGGTACTGTTGTACTCGGGAGACTTCGCTGAACACAAATATTTGTGTTTCAAAACAGCAAAAAGTATCACAGCAATATCGTCCGTGTAATTGCTGTTTGTGCATGAAAAATGCAAAAAAGTCACTTTTACTGGCGATATCATCTTTGTAATACATTTTACTGTTTTGAAACACTAATATTTGTGTTCAGCGAAGTCTCCCGAGTAGAACAGTACCCCCCATGTACAGGTTTTATGGTGTCTTGGAAAGTTATAGGGTTCAATATAGTGCTAGCAAATTAAATTCCCTTTACTTTCGGCATGGGTTGTCAGGCAGGTCCCGCTAATTGTAATTAATTAAGATACCTAATTATGTAAAAATATTACATAAATATATATGTAGAATTAATATATGTATATGTGTGTGTGTGTATATATGTGTGTATATATATATATATATATATATATATATATATGTGAATCTATGTGTGTGTGTGTATGTGTATATATATATATATATATATATATATATATATATATATATATATATAAAAAAATTACATTTTTATTTATATATAGGTATGTATATATTTATATTATTTTGTTCTACGTGTATTTTGATATAAATATATATTAATATCACAATACAGTTACAACGAAATAACACACATCTATAAATTTTTTAATTATTTTTATTTTTTAACGTATTTAATTTTTTTATATATAAAACAATAATTATATATATTTAATCAGTATCAGTCTACGTGTAATTTGATAATATATATATAATTATATACATTAATAGTAAAATACACCTAGACGGTGTACGTGTGTGTATGTATATGTGTGTGTGTGTGTGTGTGTATATATATATATATATATATATATTTTTTTTTTTTACACTTAATTAATTTTATTTTATTTCATTTTCAGCCAGAAGGGGGACCACCTGTCATTACAGGCAGCCCTCCTGCTGGCAATACTGAAGCCAGCTATACCGGCCATGTGACTGTGGGGTTCTGGCAAGGACCCCACTCTCACATGGCAGGGAGGGCTTCCAGGGGGTCGGACGTGCTGCGGGGGGCTCCCTGGGAGTGTGTCCCCCCCCCACCGCGATCGCTGGCATGGGACCGCCGGCGACCGGGTAAGTAAAGAAAGACCGGAGGCCGTACAATTACGCCCGGCGGCGCTTAGAGCCGCCTAAAATAGGGCGTAATTGTACGCCCTCCGGTCTTAAGGGGTTAAAATATTTTTGAAATAAAAAGCTTAAGACTGCATACAGTGCCCTTTATCTTTACACTGAGTGTAAAATGTTGGTATTTAAGCAAAAATGCAATTTTTCTCACATGCAGTAGATGCAAAAAAAATGAACAAGTAAATAAAAAAAATTGTCAAATACCTTGCTTGAACATATTTGAAAAGACCCTGAGGAACCTAAAATATAGATTCTTAAAACTACTCTAGCAATCTTTATCACTCTCAGTACTGCTAATATACTATTGACCATGAAATTATGCTTCTACCCCCTCCCTGACTGTAACCCAGTGAAAATACAAATTTTCAAAAAAGTTTAAAGATAAATGATGCCACAATAATACCCAATGACCAGTGCAGCAAAAATTCACCCAAGTGTTATGCCATAAAAACAGTTATACATACATAGAATCTTGATGAGAAATAAGTTCATAGCGCACCAATGGTAAGTGTATTACACACTAGCAGAAGTAGGCAGGATATAACCTAAAAGCGACATCGCAGACTGTATAAAGTGGTATCCGTGTAGCAAGTATAAAGGACACTTACATATTTAAGAGCCTTTCAGGTCAGCTCTGAACTCAAGGTATTAAAAAACATTAAAAGTATTGCTGTGTAGATGGTCCTTGCGATATTTCTCTTCAGTTGAAGTTCAGGAACCAGTGATTTTATAAGGAATATACTTTATTAAAATAAGTACTACTGTGTGTTCACTGTTAAAAAAAAAAAAAAAAACCCTAGAGCCCCCACCCCTGAGTGGCGGGTGGGGGCCCTAAAGGATAATGAGGGGGGGGGCACTTATTGTCCTCCCCCCCGGCCCCCACTCCTGAGCAGTGGGTAGGGGCCATAAATAACAATGACGGGGGGAGGGGGGCAACAACCACCTCACTATCTACCCCCCTCACCCTAAAAATAGTGAGGGGGGATTAAAAGAATTAACTACCAGTAAAAAAAACAACTTACCATTTGATGTCTTCTTTTTTCTAAAATCTTTGTTTTTCAGCCCCCAAAAAAGGCCAAATAAAAACTATAAGACCCGTCGAACTTGTAAAAAATTAAATTAAAACCACAGCGCCCCCCACCCCCCCATAAAAAAAAATCAGACGAAAAAGAAAAAATCTGATGCTAAAAAATTAATCCATCTTCACCCGGCGCGGGCACGGGGCAGACCATAAAAGGCTTATAAAGCCTTGCCCCGCCCTGCAGTTAAGCTCAGGACACTGTGATTGGATGACTTGAAATCCATCCAATCAGAGTGCTCTGTGTCATTTTACACAGTGTAGGAAAGTAGGGGGGCATTTTAATTTAGGTTCCCCCCATTGTTATTTATGGCCCCCACCCACCGCTGGGGGGTGGAGGACAATAGGTCCCTCCACCGCCTCATTGTTATTTATGGCCCCCACCGGCCAGTCAGGAAGGGGGCTGGGGGGGGACCATAAGTCCTCCCTCCTCATTGTTATTTATGGCCCCCACCTGCCGCTCAGGGGTGGGGGCCTGGGGGGGGGGGACAATAGGGGAACCCCATTGTTATTTATGGCCTCCACCCACCGTGCAGGGGGGAGGACAATAGGTCTCCCCCCCATTGTTATTTATGGCCCCCACCAGCTGCTCGGGGGGGGAGGGGTTACTAGGGTTTGTTTTATTTTATAACAGTGAGCAACCACAGGCTCACTGTTTAGTAGACATGCCCCTACTCGCGGTATAGCGAGTAGGGGCTGAATTTACTAATACTAAGTAAATTTTACTTAGTATTAGTAAATGTGGCTGAAAGACCTACAATTAGACGCAGCAAGCGCCCCCAATTCCAACCCTGGCACACCAAGCTGACCCGTTACCTCCTAAAATGTTATAGAACCGCTGAACGCTGCTGGAGAAAGTCTCACTTTGCATCTGACTTCCTCCACTATAAATTTATGCTGCGCTCCTACAGCCTGGCTCTCTCCGCTGCAGAAGTAAATTACTTTAAACCCTCATAAGTACACTGTCCCATCAACCCAAACATCTATTTCACAGTTTTGATGCTCTTCTTCGCTCTTTTAATCCCCCTCCTTGTACCACCTTGTCTGCCACAAACTTTGCATCTCACTTCACTGAGAAGATCTCTACAATCAGAGAAGAGATCGCTAATTTCTCTCCTTCCCCTACCATTACATCACCCAACCCCACTCCCTCAACCACTCTACACTCATTCACTACTGCTACAGCAGAAGAGGTTTCTGCTCTGCTCCGGTCCTCCCGCCCCACCACCTGTTCCCTCGATCCTATTCCTTCATATCTCATCCGCACTATGTCTTCCTCTCTTGCTCTTCCCCTCACTAAAATTTTTAATCTCTCTCTTTCCTCTGGCACATTTCCCTCACTCTTCAAACATGCAACTGTAACCCCAATTCTGAGAAAGCCCAGCCTTGACCCCAACTCCCCATCCTACTACCGCCCTATCTCACTACTGCCATTTGCCTCCAAGATCCTCGAGAGAGTTGTGTACACCAGACTGACTGACTTTCTCGAAACCAACTCTCTGCTTGACCCCCTTCAGTCTGGATTCCGCGCTGGTCATTCTGTCGAAATGGCTGTGACCAAAGTATCCAACGATTTAATTGCTGCTAAATCTCATGGCCATTACTCTATTCTAATTCTCCTTGATCTTTCTGCTGCCTTTGACACTGTTGATCATCAACAACATCTTCGCATTCTCCGCAATTTTGGTCTACGGGATACTGCTCTCTCGTGGTGCTCGTCCTACCTCTCCCAGCGCTCTTTCAGTGTTACTTTCTCTGACTCTGCCTCTTCCCCCCCCCCAACCACTCTCTGTCGGCGTCCGCCAAGGTTCTGTCCTTGGTCCCCCTACTGTTCTCTATATACACTGCCTCCCTTGGTAAACTCATCAGCTCCTTTGGCTTCCGTTATCATTTCTATGCGGATGACACGCAAATCTACCTGTCCTCTCTTGATCTCTCTCCGCCCATCTTGGCTCATGTCTCTGCCTCTCTTCGATTTCCAAATGGATGGCTGTTCCTTAAACTCAACCTGTCCAAAACAGAACTTCTGGTCTTTCCACCCTCAAGTGTTACTACTCCCGTGTCTGTCTCCAAGTCAG